GGGAGGAAGGAGGGGGCAAGGATGACAACAAGGAGCAGAAGGTTGGGAAAAATGGGAGGGGAGGGAACAAAGAGTGGTCGCAAGGCAATCCAATGATACAAGGCTATTCAGGCGCCCGAGTAGATCTACTGTGAGACAGACTACTGAGGGCTTCAACTAGCCAGGCGTACAAACTTGATTCGGACCAATGAGAGGAACCCACGTGGCGCCGCAGATGGTGTCGGGACGTGTGGTGAACACGCGCACGCTGGCAGATCCGTCTGCCACGTCAGCGATGGCGAACTCCACCTCAGCGCCCTCGGACCGTCCGATCCAGTTGCGCTGCATCTCCTTGACGCTCTCGGGCCAATCCAGGCCGTCCAAATCGTCCAGCAGGCGATCGGCATACTCTGTGATGCGCAGCATCCACTGGCGCATGGGCTGGCGGGGGGAAAGTGGGTGGGGGGGTGAAATGGGGGAGGGGAAGGGGGGAGAGGTGAAGGGAAGAAAAGGGGCGGGAAGGAAGGGAATGGGGGAGAGGGGAAGGCGATCGGCGTACTCCGTGATGCGCAGCATCCACTGGCGCATGGGCTGGTGGGGGGAGGGGGAGACGGTGGGAGGGGGGGACGGGGGGAAGGAGTTGGGAGAAAATGGGGAGGGGGGAAGAAGGAGGAATGAGGAGGGGGCGTGGGAGAAATGGGGGAAGAGAGGGAGGGCGGGATATGGGAGGGAAAAAGAGAGGGTGTGGGGTAGAATTGAGGGGAGAGGGGAAGAACCGACATAGGGGGAACGGGTGGGCACCGGAACGGAAGGAAGAGTTGGGTGAAGCAGAGAAGCGCTGTTGACAGCATCAACGGAAAGGGCACCAGAAGGCCGTCAGACTAATGGGAGAGAAGAAAGGGAGGTTGGGAAGTTGATGTTGCACCGCCCACTTCGGATTACCCTTCTCAATCGTCTAATGGTTTGTTCCCCCTTTTCCTCCTCTCCCGCACTCCTTATAACGCGTATTACATTGTTGAAACGGACTCCCCCCCTCCCCTTCCCCTCCCCCCCACACGCACACCTTGCGGATGACGGGGTGGCCGCCCCTCTCACTGACGCCGTCCACCACCTCCTCATTCGCCAGCACCGTTCCCATGGGGACTTGGTCATGACTGAAAGTTGAAGGTAAATTAAATCCCCACCCACACACACACACACACACACACACACCTTGCGGATGATGGGGTGGCCGCCCCTCTCACTGAGGCCGTCCACCACCTCCTCGTTGGCCAGCACCGTTCCCAACGCCGGACACCAGTTCACTGCCACGTCAGCCTGACGCAGGGAGGGGAGAGAGAAAGGGGCGGAGCGCAGCAGAGAGAGAAGGGGAAGAGTGGGGCAGAGAGGCAGAGGAGTGCAAGAGAGTGGCACAGAGGGGCAGAGAGGCAGAGGAGTGCAAGAGAGCGGCACAGAGGGGCAGAGAGCGGCAGAGGGATGGAGGAAAAGTAGGGTGGCTGGGAGGCGTCCACCACCTCCTCGTTTGCCAGCACCGTTCCCAAGGCTGGGCTGGACACCAGTTCACTGCCACGTCCGCCTGGCAGGGTGTAGCGAGGGTGTTTTTGAGACGTCTCAAAATTCCAGTTCACTGCCACGCCCGCCTGGCAGGGGCGATGTAGGGATGGATGACGGAAGGCAGGAGGTGGTGATGGTTGATGGTGGAGAGAGATAGGAAAAGTGAACCGTCCCACGGGGTTGTCCAAAGGGCATGGAAGGAATGCATTGCACGGCCAGTTTACCAGCAGAGGCAACCCAACCCAAACCATTGCACGGTCAACAGCCTATGGTATGGAGGTCAGCCTCAGCTGGTTGGTTGGTAGCCAGCCCGTTCAAGTTTGACCTCGTAACCAGCCGACCTGTGATGAGTCTCTTTTTGAGTCGACTTTTTAATAAATTTTGACCTGGTAACCTGGTAACCAGCCGATGTGAAGCGCACCTGGTACGCGAGGCCTCGGTTGAGGATCTGAAGGAAGATCCACTGAGTCCAGCGGTAGTAGTCGGGATCTGTTGTCGATACCTCCCTCTGCCAGTCATACGAGAACCCCAGCGCCTTCAGCTGGAGGAGGCAGGGGGAGCGGAGGTGGGGGGGAGGGAGAGGGGTGTTAACGGCAGAAAGGTGATGGGACAAGGGGTTGCTGCGTGACAGGGTTGTGTCTGTCAGGTACAGTGACACTGCCATGCAATTTTGATTGCACATGCATTTACCTGCGCCCATAAGCACTTTTACCTGCGCCCATCATCAGCACTCACTCCTTCGCCCATCAGCACTCTCAATCAAGTCTCACCTGCGATCTGAACCGTCCAATGTTGCGCTCCGTTGTCACCCGTGGATGCGTGCCGGTCTGATGGCATGAGGAGGAGGGAGGGAGGGAGGGAGGGAGGGAGGGAGGGAGGGAGGGAGGGAGGGAGGGAGGGAGGGAGGGAGGGAGGAAGGGAGGGAGGGAGGGAGGGAGAGAGGGAGGGAGGGAGGGAGGGAGGGAGGGAGGGAGGGAGGGAGGGAGGGAGGGAGGGAGGGGGGGAGGGAGGGGGGGAGGGGGGGAGGGAGGGGGGGAGGGCATAACAAGAAGGCGAGAAAACGGTGAAGAGAAGGGAGAAACGAGACGAATGGAGAGACGTGTGGGAAACGGGAGGAAGGGAATTAAGCGACTACGCAGAGCATCCCAACAAGTCGATGATGCTGAGAGAACATAAGATGAGAGGGTGCAGTGCCGTGCAGCACAGAAGCACAGCACGGCACAGCAACCAAACCTCCCCCCGCTCAACTCTAACGCATACTGCTCCGCCAGCAGCAGCCCAAAGGCGTCCCGCCCCATGGGGCTCTGATCTGAACAGCACGTTGAAGTCCCACCTCTCCCTGCCCCTCTCCCTTGCTCTTCGCACCCTCACTCACTCCCTTCCTCCCCCCACTCACTCACCTCGATGGCGTACTGCTCCGCGGGCAGACCGAAGGCGTCCCACCCCATGGGGTGCAGCACGTTAAAGCCCCGCATGCGCTTGTACCGCGCCACTATGTCCGTCGCCGTGTAGCCCTCCGGGTGGCCCACGTGCAGCCCTGCGCCACTGGTAAGGTCAAGGGGTGGAGAGCGGTGGAAAGGGGTGTGTATGAGAGGGGAGGGGGTTGGGGGGAGAGTGGAGGGAGGAGTGGATGGGGTACCGCGCCACTACGTCCGTTGCTGCCGTGTAGCCCTCTGTTTGCCCCACGTGCAGCCCTGCGCCGCTGGTAAGGGTAAGGGGTGGAGTGGGTGTGTGTAAGAGGGGAGGGGAATGAAGGGGAGAGGGGGAGAGGGGGAGAAAGGGTTTGCTGAAAAGGGGATGATTGCAGCTGGTGTAGTTAAAGGTTGGGGCTTCATAGTCTGGAGACGTCTCAAAGTACAATCAAGCCCACATGGGGTACGTGATATGTCGAGTCTACGAGTGCAGCACCTGGGGCTTGAAGAACATATCAAGGTTATATGGAGCACAGGCTTCCAGAGGTGTCACCTGAATAATTGAACGCACCAGGGGTACCATCATCCCACCACGGTTAGGGGACATGTCGCACCTGGGGTAGGGCGCACCTGGGGTAGGGGAACATGTCAAGGACGTAGAACTTGGGTTTGCTCGTGTCCACGTCATCCAGCGTGCGGAACGTCGCCTTCTCCTCCCACTGCGCCTGCCACTTCGCCTCGATCTCCGTGAACGGATAGGCGGTCGACTGCCGGCTACCCGTCTGCGCTGGCGGCGCGCCGGCGGTTGCCGGCGCTGTTGCGGGAGCGACTGCTGTATCCACTGCCGTGCTGCTGCTGCTGCCGCCGCCGTCGCTTGCGGCGGCGGAGCAAAGAACGCGGGCGTTCCTGCTCATGCGGCACGGCGCGGGCTGGTTTGACACGTGGGCGAATGTGGACCGTAGGGATGACAATCGGACGGACGAGATCGACGCAGACGACGATTTCGGCCAGAAAGGCGAAGACAACGACATATATCTGTACGGTTGCCTGAAACGGCTCGCGACCCGAGCGCATTTCGCGACGCCGTCAGAGCGATCGCCTACGGCAGGGAATGCGGTGCGAGAGATGGTGAGAGTGCGCTGCGTGAAGGGCGCGGGAGTTACGGCGCCAGCATATCGGCGGATCAGGCCTCGACCCGACGCGGCGGCGGGCGACGCGAGGAGCTCCCGAGGGATCGGAATGCACGGGGTCAGCAGCCCGCACGCCATGGCGGCTCGTGCGGTGCGAGGTCTGCTACACCGCCGATATATTCTGAACGACGAGGAGTTAGTGCGGCGTCGCTCACTCAGCCTGCAATGCGACTGACAGCTTGTAGCCAATTTTGGTCGTAGGAGCTCCTTGTTTGTCGCACGCAGCTGTCGCTTGGGTGTTGAAAGAAAGGGAAAAGCGAGCAATGTGGCGGTGACGTGGCGAAACTCTCGGCAGCCAATTGGACGCGTCTCATCCACTTCTTGCGGGTTCGGTAGCAGTTATTTCGCTGTTAATACAAGCCTTTTGAAAGCTCCTTCTGTGTAAACCGGGCGTAATTCCTCAAGAACCTGGTAACAATAAATTGTTGAACAAGCAGACATTTCACAAGGTATGGTGGCCAGTATAGGTATAACTAACACACAAAATCTTCAAAGAATATGTACATGCCGCCAACATACGCTAACAGTTGGAGGTCAGCGCGGAAGGAGTCTGTTAAGCTGGGACTCGAATTCGTCCACTTTGCGGCTCAACTCCTTGCTGCCAGACGCAACCAACCAAGATTCGCACAGCAGAGTCAGCAGAAAAAATGGTCAGGGAGAAGCCAAGGGAGACAGAGATGGGGGCGAAGGCCCAAGAAGAGAGTGGGAGGAGAAGAATAACTAGAGGGAATGTCAGGGTGCGGACTCACACTTGTGTAGTTAGGTGTGGCAGTTGCTGCAATTCCTCGTTCATCCTGCATCCGCACAATGCAAGCACTGAAGCTCATTTGTCAACATTCCTTGACACATGTAAGGCGAGGTCCAACTATGGTGGGTGCAACCCTCCAAGCATGCCCAGCCCATGAATGCCCACCCCATGCATGCCCACCCCATGCATGCTCACCCCATGCATGCCAACCCCATGCATGCTCACCCATGCATGTCCACCCCATGCATGCCCACCCCCTGCATGCTCACCCATGCATGTCCACCCCATGCATGCTCACTCCATGCATGCCCACCCCGTGCATGCCCACCCCATGCATGCCCACCCCGTGCATGCCCACCCCATGCATGCTCACCCCATGCTCACCTCATGCATATTCACCCCATGCTTACCTCATGCATATTCACCCCATGCTCACCTCATGCATGCATTGATGAACCTCATTCCTCTGTTAGCTGCCTCCATTGCTGCCACGAATGGGCAGAGGTGGGAACAAGAATAGCCTCAGAGTGAAGGCTCCAAACCACAACTATGCCTCATGCAACAAGTTCATTCAAGTATCCACTAATCCACCCACCCAACCAAGCACGCACCTGCACCCTGCAGCCGCGAGGCAGCATCTCTCTCCACCTCCACGTGCGCCACTGTGTTGCTAGTCACCTGCACGAATCTCCCTCGTAACATTGCGACAAAAAAATTGGAGTTATTTGAAGGAGCCCGCACAAGTGTGGTAATATTTCCGACAAACTAATATGAGTTTACTAAAAAAGGCATGCACGCACCTCTTTGAGATGGCCTCTCAGAGCGTCCAATAGTTCCTTCACAGCGTCTGCTGCGCCGATGGCGCTTCGTTCCGCCTCGTTCAGCACCTGCTGGCGGCCGCGTGGACAGGCGGCATGTCAGTGAATGAGTTTCATCTGAATAGCAGCATAATCCTAGTAACGCCAGAATGGCAGAGATGGATAGATGGGGCGTTTTTTAGTCGGCTTTTGAGTCTAAAAATAGTGGTTGACCCCTAGAATTATCCGAGACAACAGACACAGAATAATTTGAGTGGATGGCTGGGGCGGTTCGAGTCGACACAGAATACACCGGGGCGCACATGTGATATGGGCGGAAAGCGATCACCTCCATCATTCCAGCGGGTGATTGTAACGGAGGTGATCCTTGCAACCCGCCTGAGTGTATGCTGTCACTGCTATCCATGCCACGGTCTGCCCCAGTGGGATCAAAACCTAACGGACGATGTGGCCTAAACGACTTCCAGAAAAAGCCCTACATGCTTCATGAGCGTTTTGCCCGCCCGCTCGCTTTGCGCTTTGCTTGAATTATGGCGCCTGTAAGATGAAATGGCGCCTTCAAACTTGCGCCTATCATATATTTTCTGGTGCAGAAATAGAATGGTGTTTGTTCGCAGGATTCAGGGGAACAAATTTCACGACAGCAGTTACAAGTCGTTGCGATCTGAAGCACGAAAGCCAAAGCGTGGGTCGTAGGCAGAGGCGTTACAGCTGACTTCCGCATCGTGACGCGTCGCCTCAGAGAGTCTGCCAACCAGATCGCAGAGACGTGAACCCAACCGAGGCTTCGCAGAGTTGACGAAAACTCGCGAATGCAGCTGACAATTTTCGCAAATATTTTCGCTGCCTCTTTTTGCGGGTCCTTGGCGACGCTCAACGAGCACACAACAACTCCAGAAACACAGTCGCCCAGCATCGGCGCTTTGGGATGGGACCGTGCGACGACAACCACCCATCTCAAATAGCCCTTCCAGAAACTAATCGCCTAATTTTTCAAGTCTGAAGTTGGTTTTCTTTGTACCACGCAGCGTTCCCGAAGCCAGTTGATATTAGGTCTTACATTAGTTGCGTGGGACCAGTGAGGAGTCTTGGCCATTAATCGTGTCCCTTCGGCGTTCCATGCGGCTTTCAAAGAACCTCGGGACCAGCTTTACTGTTCAAGATCACCCACCGATAAGATTGTCCTGGCCGCTGAAGCATAACTAGTTACCGCATTTCCTCTTTTGCATTAGCAGTTCGCGCAGTCGCACTGGTCACCCTCGCCGCGTCCCATTCTCGCGCGTCGGGTTCGTCGTAGCGCAACTGCGCGTCACTTACCTTTCAAGTCTTCTAACAAGGTCGATACTAATCGAAACTTCTAGCAAATACTTTTAGCTAAGCGCGGCGTCGAAATGGCGGTCCTAACAGCTCCTCCAAACAGCCTGCCATACGTGGTGGCTTTAAACTGCATGGAGGGCTGCCACGCGCAAGCCGAGGCGCTCGCGGACCTCTGTGTCCTCGAGAATGTCGGGCTCAGCGAGGGCATGCTCGACAAGCTGGAACGCGCTGACGTGGTGCTCGTTCATTCGCTGCATTACCTCCCGCGCGCAGCGCAGAGAAAGCTTTCCGCGTCGCAGCTGATTCTGTGCCTCGGGTCGTCCGCCGACACGCGCCCCGTCGAGTCGTCGCTCGCGGAGGAGCTCGGCCTGCGATTGGTCCACGTGGACGTGCCGCGCACGGACGAGGTCGCGGACAGCGTGATGGCGCTAATGCTCGGGCTGCTCCGTCGCACGCACGTTCTCGCGGCGCAGGTAGGGCGCGCCGATGCGCACGCACATGCGCTCACTGCTCTTCGTTCTACCTCTCCTTCGTTCTTTTCATGCGCTCTTCTTCATGCAACTCGCGTCTTTTCATCCGGCATACCCCACTTTTCGCCTCCCTGTTTTCGCACTTTCCCCTGCCCCCCCGCCCCCCCCGCCCCCCGCTCCGCTCTTCCCCACCTTCTTCCGCTCCCCGTTCCGCAGGGCTGCACGAGCGCGAGCTGGTTCGCGGGGTTCAAGGGCGCGTGGCAGGGCATGCGGCGACTGCGCGGGATGGTGCTGGGGCTCGTGGGCGCCAACGCTGCTGCGCGCGCCGTCGCGCGGAGAGCCGCCGTGTTCGGCATGCGCGTCGTCTTTTGCGACCCCGAAGGGGTGAGGCGCTCGCGCTGCTGTGCGCGGAGCAATAGAGGGTGTAGGCGGAACATTGGGGGGATGTGGGCGGGGCATGCGGGGGTGTGGGCGGAGTAGGAGGTTGTTTTAGGCACGACGAATGTAGGCATAGCCGAGGGCGGATGCGCTGACGTGGGCGGTGGGGGCGCCCTTCATCCCCCCTTCCCTCCCCAACACCACCTCTTCCCCTCCCCCTCCCCCCTCATCTATTCCCCCTCCTCCCCCTCCGTCCTGCAGGAGCTGCAGCGCTCCCCGCGGGCGGGGGCGCTGATGCGCGCGGTGGGGGCGGAGCGGAGCACAGTGGAGGCCGTTCTGGCGGCCAGCGACGTGGTGTCGCTCCACGTGGCGCTCACTGATTCGACGCTCCACCTGATCAACGACGACACCGCCAAGCATTTCAAGAAAGGTGGGCGGGCGCGCGGGCGGCAAGCGGGTGGTGGGAGGGAGGCGGGCGAGCGGTGGGCGAGCGGTGAAAGGGTGGCAGGGAGGGAGGTAACAGGGCGACAGAGTAGGGGTGGCAGGGAGCAGGGGGGGGTTGGGTATGAGCGGTAACGATCGAGGCGAGAGTCCAGTTGATGAGAGCAGGTCCGAGTTGCACAGAGCAGAGCATCACGAGTGATGCTGAACCCCCATGCAGCCATCTGGTGTTTCTGTTGCCTGTACCTCATCTCCCCCGTGACGCTTGTCCTGTTCCCCTTTCCCCCTCTCCCTCTTTCCCTCCCCACCAGGCGCCATGCTGATCAACGCCAGCAGCTGTCACCTGGTGAGCGACAGCGCCATCAAGAGGGCGCTCAACAGACGATCCCCTTCCCCCCTTGCCCATTCTTCTCTCCTTAACAGCCCAACCCCCCCCGTCTTTCCCCTCCCCACCAGGCGCCATGCTGATCAATGCGAGCAGCTGTCATCTGGTGAGCGACAGTGCCATCAAGAGGGCACTCAACAGCGGCCGCTTGGGCAGCTGCGCGCTGGATGGTGTGGAGGGCAACCAGTGGCTGGAGGCGTGGGTGAGTGTGGTGTAACAGTAGGCTGTGATGTGTGGTTGAGTGGGTGGGACTGGGGGGAGGTTGCCTGCACGCTCAACAGCGGCCGCCTGGGCAGCTGTGCGCTCGACGGTGTGGAGGGCAACCAGTGGCTGGAGGCGTGGGTGAGTGTGGTGTGGTGTAATGTGTAGAGCAGTGTAACGTGGCGGTAGGCTGTGAATGAGTGGGTGTGGCTGTGAAGTGGCCGCCTGGGCAGCTGTGCGCTGGACGGTGTGGAGGGCAACCAGTGGCTCGAGGCGTGGGTGAGTGGAGTAGTGTAATGTAGAATGGTTGAATGCGGTGATAGGCTGTGATGAGTGGGTGCGGCTGTGTGAAGGAGTAGGCTGGGCAGCTGTGCGCTGGACGGCGTGGAGGGCAACCAGTGGCTCGAGGCGTGGGTGAGTAGCTGGAGGCGTAACGTGATGGTAGGCTGTGGGTGAGTTTGGTGGATGGGTGGGGCTGTGGAGAGGAGGGTGATGGGTGTGTTGCGTGTGTGCTCGACGGCGTTGAGGGCAACCAGTGGCTCGAGTCGTGGGTGAGTAGAATAGTGCAATGCGATGCTAGGCTGTGTGTGAGCGTGGTGGGGGCGTGGGGTGTGGAGAGGAGGGTGTGTTGCATGCATGTGCGATGGACGGCGTAGAGGGCAACCAGGGGCTCGAGGCGTGGGTGAGTGTGATGTGACGGGTGGGGCAGTGGAGAGGTGTGCTGGGTGGGTGGATGGGTGAGTGAAGAGTGGGTAACAGCGATAGCAATGGGCAAGTCCTCGAAACCTTGTGGATGGGTGAGAAGGTTGTGCCTGCAGTGCAGACACAACCTTCTCTCTTACTGCACAAGGTTCATCGATTAAATCGCCTTGCAGCTATTTTCAGTCCTCCGTCCCACCCCGTCTCGCCTCGACCTCGCAGGTTCGGGAGTTCCCGAACGTCCTCATCTTGCCTCGGAGCGCTGACTACAGCCAGGAGGTTTGGGAGGCGCTTCAGTCCAAGGCTGTGGCGGTGGTTCGGGCGTTCCTAACCTCTGGCAAGGTGCCCGAGGAGCTGGTGTTGGACGATTCGTTCGGAGGGGTGGAGGGGGAGGAAGAGGAGGAGGAGGAGGAGGAGTCACAATGGCAAGCACTACACGCTCTCTTCCCTGCTTCTGGTGGTGCTGGTGTTTCTGCTGCTCGTGCTGGTGGTTCTGGTGCTGGCGGTGCTGCGAATGGTGATGGTGGTGGTGGGACGGGGGGGAAGAAAGCTGGACGGGGTGGGGGAGGGCGAGCGGAGGAGGGAAGGAGGAGTGGGGGAGATGGGAGCAAGAGTGCATCTAGTGGGGGGAAGAAGCAAGGAGGGGAAAGAGGGGGAGGCACACAGACAGATGCATTAACAGCTTCTGTGGAGAAGGTGAGGTTCCCCTCTCGCCTCCTCTCTGCTATCCACCTCTCTCCTCTCACTCACACTTCCTCTGCTTTTCTTGAGTCGACTCATAAAGGGGCGGAGGCACTCAAACAGACGCATTGACAACTTCTGTGGAGAAGTTGGGTCTTCCCTCTCGCCTTTTGAGACGTCTCAAAAGTCCTCTCGCCTTTTGAGACGTCTCCACAGACGCATTGACAACTTCTGTGGAGAAGTTGGGTCTTCCCTCTAGCCTCATCTCCTTTGCTCCCCACCTCTCTTTCCTCACACTTCTCCTCCTCTTTCTCTCTGTTCTCCAATCTGCTCTTCCACCTCACACTCTGCTCCTGTCCTCTCGCCTCCTCCTTGCTTTCCCTCCTTCAAGCAATTATATGTACCTCACTCCTCGCCCTACCCTCCCACGTCTCCCTTCCCTCTTCCCCCTCATTTCCCCCTCTCCTTGCGCCCAAACCAGCATCTCCCGGACTGCCCCCTTCAAGACGGCATGCTAGTCGCCCTACAGCCGCTCGCCTCCACCTCCTCCTCCGCCTCCTCCTCCTCGCTCTCCCTCCCAGCAGCCTTTGCAGCGGCCTTCCCCAAGGCACTCTTTGCTGCCAAGCGCCGCGACGGAGGGGCGTCGTGGCGATTCGCGCCGGTGGAGGGCATTTCCACGCAGCACCCGAGCGTGCAGTTCGTGATTGTTTGTGATAAGGTGGGCGGGTGGGTGCGTGGGTGGGCGGGCAGGTGTGTGGGTGGGTGGTAGCGTGCGACCCTAAGTGTGGGGCAAGTTGTGTGGTCATGGCACCTTAAGAGTCCTCTCCCCGGTGGAGGCCATTTCCACGCAGCACCCGAGCGTGCAGTTCGCGATCGTGTGCGACGAGATGGGTGGGTGCTGTTTTCAGTGTGCGTCGAGGTGGGTGGTCTCGGCACCTCAGGGATAGACACTGCAGTGGAGGGCATTTCAACAGAGGGGTGCGAGCTGATATCTCAATCTCAATCTATCTAAGACCAGACGGGGGCATTTCAACAGAGGGATGACATCTCCAACTATCTAAGACCATTTGTACCATTGCATCCAACCTCACCTCACGCACCCCCATCTCGTACCATACCACCCCTCGTCCATGTGACGTGCAGGATCTGCTGGGGTGCAGATCAGTCTTTGCAGGGGGCAAGTTCCTGCAGACAACAGAGGGTGGAGAGCTGCTGCTGGTGAACGATGACTTGGATCTGGCAGAGAGTTGGTTCTTCACCACCCTGCCCCACCCCTCCAACGGCCTCGCCCTCTCCCTCACCAACGCCCTTCACTCACATGTAAGCTCTCTGTTTTCTCACTCTCTCCGGGTCCAATGGCCTTGCACTCGCCCTCACCAACAAGCTGCACTACAAGCTTCAGAGGGGGGGGGCAAGCTGCTGCTGGTGAGGTGAACGATGACTTGGATCTGGCAGAGAGTTGGTTCTTCACTGCCCTGCCCCACCCCTCCAACGGCCTCGCCCTCTCCCTCACCAACGCACTTCACTCCCACGTGAGCTCTCTTACTCATGCTCTCCTCTCCCCCTCTCACTCTTTACAAATTTCTACCTCTGCAAAAAGGAAGGGACTCTGCTTATTCTTTCTCGATACTCTCTTATGAGCCCTCTTTCCTGGCGTTAACACGGGCCAAAGAGACGCTCTTCAGAGCATCCCCATCAATCTCACTCCGCTCCTTTGCTTGCAACATTTCTGCAGGCATCCTATGTTCTTGCTTGAACCGTATCGTTCCCTTTTATTCTATGATCCCACTCACCCCCACACTCCTCCCCTACCCATATGCCCCTCTGTTGCTGCTGGCGAGCTCAGGTGGAACTTCAGGTGCTCGTACACGTCTTGAGTGGAGGCTGATGATCCGAGCACAGTAACCACACACGCACACAGAGAGAGCAGAAGGGTTTGGAAGGGGTTTGAAAAGAGGGGCCTTGGTCGCTGGTGCGTCAGCCGAAGCTAATGCCTGGGAGCCTAGGTCCTCCTCATCATCCCGTCCACATTCCATCAGTCTCCTATCTATCTATGAGCAGTAGCACTCACACTGTGGGATGCTGTTCCAGAGTTGACCTGGGCAGTTCTCAGCTGTATGCGGCGGAGCTGTAGTGGCAAGCTTTATTTATTTGTGCGTGTTTATCCGCACTGTGCATATCATACGGTATACCACCAAGCTCACCTGTAGAGTTGAGCTGCTTCAAGTTGTGCTTGTGTGCATGTACCCGTACCTCCTGTTATGCTGTTGCACCATCAGTGAAATTTTATGGAAATGCACCTGCACATAATCACCGAATTTATACTCCTTGGAGTGAGATGCGTGGTCTACAATATGCTTGATCTCCATGCCTTGGAATGATACAGTGAGTGTGAGATGCATGGCATGATGTAGGGTAGGTGGCACAGTGGCATTAGCTAAGGTACACTGGTTCAGTCCAGGCGGTCGCCTAACACGTCCCAGCCTCCTCGGCATACTTCTTGACTCTGCTTAATACCGTACTAGCGTATGAGCATTCTGGAAACCGTCTCAAACGATTCAATTCGGCCGGGTGACTGGTTGCACATCCCAGATCTCCTCGGCGTGCTCCTTTTTACTGTACTCGATACTCTTAGCAATTTGGAAACCGTCTAACGTGCTTCAATACGGGCGGGTGACGGGCTGCACGTCCCAGATCTCCTCTGCATACTCCTTCATCGTGCGATCACTGGTGAACCGCCCGCACCCAGCCGTGCTGCTGATGCTCATGCGCGTCCACTTGGGCACGTCCACATACGTTGCATCTATGGCCGCCTGTGAGAGGGGGGAAAGGAAAGGAGACAGGATAAGGAAGGTGAGGGGCGGAGGGAGGGGAGGGCAGTCGAACCAGCACCCAGCGGTGCCGCCGATGCTCATGCGTGTCCACTTGGCCACGTCCACATACGTTGCATCTATGGCCGCCTGCGAAGGTTGAGGAGAGTGGGGGAAGAAGGTGGAAGGGGAGGGGGCGAGGGTGGGGGAGGGAGGAGGGCATTCAGACCAGGAAGACCCAGTGGTGCTGCTGATGCTCACAAGCATCAACATTGGGACGTCCACATAGGGACGGGAAAATGAGTTGAACCCAGCAGCGCAGCCAGCATTTTCGCTGGTTCCCATTCGAATCACTTTTGAGAATTCTCAAAAATTCTCAAATGAGAATTCTCAAAAGTGATTTCAATATACCCAGCGGTGCAGCCAGCATTTTCGCTGGTTCCCATTCGTGACTACTGAGGCACAGGATACATCCACAGATGAAGAGGCGGAGAAAGTGAGGGGAGTGGAGGAATGGAGGATGTGAATAGAACTAGAGGAAGAGGAGGAGGGGGATCGGAGGATATGCAAACCTGCGCTTGCAAGGAGTTGGGGAGGAGCGCACCTGCGCTTGCAGGTAGGTGGGGAAGAGCGCACCTGCGCTTGCAGGTAGGTGGGGAAGTCGTTGGCAAGCAGGTAGTAATCGTTGCCCGGGCCGTCAATGGAGTCCATGAGAGGCGCAAAGAACTCCGTCCACCCAAAGTACCCACTGCGGATCATGCTGTGGTGTCAGGGAGAGGGAGGGAGAGAGTGAGGGAGAGAGAGGGAGGGGACGATGAGGAGAGGGAGGGAGGGATAACAGTTTGTGAATGAGACGCGAAGAGGAGATTGAGAGGTGAGCGGTAAGATGGGCTTCAATCGAGGAACTACAGAGAGCCAGGCAGGCAGGGAGGGCACTGAGCAATGAAAGAAAGCTGCCTCATGGGAGTAGCCACACCATCACACCATCTTACCACTTCACAACCTCACCATTTTACCATTGCGGCGCAGCCCAAGGCACAGCATGGCAGCAGCACTCACTGGCCCACACCCACCATCCCACAACTTCACCACTTGACTATCGCACCACACACACAGCACGGCGGCAGCAGGCACTCACCCCACAACACGAGTGAAGTTGCGGCAGGGGGTGAAGGTGCGCCGCTCCTCCCTCAGCCGCGGCACGTCCTTGGTCTCCGCCCCAAACACAAACTGCAATGAGCAGCATCGACAGGCACCGGGAAGAGCAGAGGAACATTAAGGAACATCGAGAGTGGGAGATGTATTGAGGAGCACAACACGATTTATTTGCTCGTACCTACAAACCAGCACAAACCACATCCTGGTGGTTGGATATCTGGGAAACCTATCAGGAATCATGGAAAAAACGCAGTGTGGCAAGACAATGTAATGTACCATGTCGCACAGTCATGGCATGGCACGTCAGCACTGCCGAACATGGTGTGAAATAAAATGCACATGCAGGTTTGCCTTGACAAGAGCAGCCATGTTCCCGTGACATGGCATGTCACTCTAGCAGACTTGAAAGCTATCGTTTGCATTGCATTGCATGAATGCCACGATATGTCATGTTGCCATGACAGGCACATCACCACAGCAGATCTGCAAGGCCCAGGACGTGACGTGACCCCACCCTGTTGAGTCAATATCCCGGCACAACAATTTCAGTTCACCATAGCACGGGCATAGCATGTCTCCATGGCACGAAGGCATGTCATGCAACCATGCACAAGGCCTTGCATGTGCACGTACCATGTTTTCGGGGCCAATCTCCTCTCTGATCTCGCGCGTGGCGCCATCCAGAGTGCCTAGAATGACAGTTGAGGCGCCTCAAAGGCCTTGCATGCGCACATACATACCATGTTTTCGGGGCCAATCTCCTCTCTGATCTCGCAGGTGGCGCCATCCAGAGTGCCCAGAATGAGGCATCCGTTCATTGCAAACTTCATGTTGCTCGTGCCCGACGCCTCGTTGCCCGCCGTGCTGTTATGTATCAATGACCATAGGATGGATGCATCAGAGAATGGTATCAGTCACCATATACAGTGCTGCCAGCTGACGTGGTGTGGGAATCAACTAATGTGCTGTAATACGTACTAAAGCCCAGTGCGAATAACCTGACGTTTTGTAAGAATTACCTGTTGTGCTGCGAGAATCACCTGATGTGCTGTGAGAATCACCTGAAGTGATGTGGAAATCACCTGATGTACTGTGAGAATCACCTGACGTGCTGCGAGAATGACCTGATGTGCTGTGAGAGTCACCTGACGTGGTGTAGGAATCACCTGATGTGCTGTGAGAATCACCTGACGTGGTGTGGGAATCACCTGATGTGCTGTGAGAATCACCTGACGTGGTGTGGGAATCACCTGATGTGTTGGGAGAGGTCGCTGGCAGGGATGATGAGCTCAGCGAGCGACACGTTGTAGTCGGGAATGAACACCTGGTGGCGGGCGGGCAGCGGGTGAGAGGTGGGAGGTGGGAAGTGGGAGGTGGGAGGGCTGGGCACACAGAGGCATAGCAAGCGAGGTGGCTTGAACTCCAGGGAAAAACACTCAAGCAAGGCTAAGCCCAACGCACCAGCTTGAGCAGGTCGTCCACGTCCTAGTCGATGTTGATCACATCGCTGACAGCACCAACACCCCTCACTATCCTAGCTTGTTCTGAGACGTTTCAGCTCAAAACTTTCAGACACGCATAAACCCGACCCACCAGCTTGAGCAGGTCGCCCACCTCCTCGTCGTCGTTGTTGATCACATCGCTGACAGACGGCGCTGACGAGCTTCACAATCTTCTCGCAACTTTGTTCAAAGGTGTCCCGAACACAACCAAGCCCAACGCACCAGCTTCAGCAGATCGCCCACATCCTCGTCGTTGTTGTGCATGTGCATGCATATGTGCATGTGCAGGCGTATGTGTATGTGCATGCATACGTGCATGCATATGTGCATGCATATGTGCATGTGTGAGGCAGCAAGAAGAACCACGTAACCACAGGACCCTGACGCACCAGCTTGAGCAGGTCGCCCACGTCCTCGTCATTGTTGATGACTTCACTGACGGCACTAATGAGCTTCACGATCTTACCTTGTTCCAAGACATCACAAACACAACTAATCCTGCCCAACCAACGCACCAGCTTGAGCAGGTCGCCCACGTCCTCGTCGTTGTTGATCACTTCGCTAACGGCGCTGATGAGCTTCACAATCTTCTTCGCGAGGTCGTACCCCGGCGCTGCCTTGCCGCCCAGCAGACACACCCGCGGCACCACCCGCTTGCGATCCTCAGGACTCATCTTCTGCTCCACTCAAATGGAAGAAGAGGGCAATGGTAAGAGTGGGGAGCAGAGGAGTGGGTTGAGATTCGAAACCGCTGCGCTGCCGCCCAGCAGTCACACCCCCGACACCACCCAAATCCCCTGCCTGCCGTACTGACTGGACCAATATTTTCAGGTGGTGAAGGGACTGACTGACCTTGATGCAGTCGTAGCGGTGGATGATGCTCATAACGTTGAGCAGCTGGCGCTTGTACTCGTGGATGCGCTTCACCTGCACGTCAAACATGGCGTCGATGCTCACCTGCACCATGGGGGTGGGTCAAGAACCACAGGAACGAAACACGCGGGAGCATGGAGATTGGGAGGAGAGGGGAGAGGGGGAGGGGATGCTTGTACTCGTGGATGCGCTTCACCTGCACGTCAAACATGGCGTCGATGCTCACCTGCACCATGGGGTGTGGGTGCGGAACCATGGGAATGGAACAAGATGAGTAACGGGAGGTGGAGAGGGGAAGAAGCGGTTTTTGACTCCTATTAAGACTGGAAAAGCAAGAGGTGAAAGGGAAATGAAGCAAGGTCGAGTGGGAAAAGCGCGAGCTGACGAATGCAGGTCACAGGAACGTCAGATGGCAAATAAGGCTTTTACGCGGACCTGCAGGCAGCACACAGCACAGTACGCAGCACAGGGAGGAAGCAGAAGGTTGCGTTAAGAGGGGAAGGAGAGGAAGAAGGATGGAAGGGAAGGGAGCTTGCACTCGATGCACTGGACGCGGCATCAATGCAGACAGGCATCGATGCACACCTGGTGCACATTGATGCAGCTGTTGAGGAGACTTGTGAGTCGACTGTAGAGCTGAAAGACAGCTGAAAGACAACAGCTTGAAACGCTCACCTTGATCCCTGAAATCCCCTCTATGTATGCTGCCAGGCGAGCCTTGTTCTGCCTGCGAACCTGGAGACGTGGACATTACACACATGCATGCATGCACGTGCACACACCAACAGACACACACACACACACACACATGCACACACACATGCACACACACATGCACGCACAATCACACACCAACAGACATGCACGCAGAAGTGCAGAGACACCGAAGCACACATCAGCACATGAAAAGGATGGTGAGCTTGAATGCCCACACTGGTGGGAAATCAGTGGTGAGATGAGAACACATGCACACCCGAATGCACAGCTAAGCAACGCACGGCCACAAAGAAACAGCACACGGCCACAGAGCCCTACCTGCATCGACTGTGTCTGCCCTCTGCATAGCCACGTGAAATAAGAGTTTTTTTTAGACGTCTCAAAAAGACACACTTATTTCACGTGGCCACGGAGCCCTACCTGCATCCACTGTATCTGCACTCTGCAGCAACACACACCCACACCAACACACCGCCACACCCTCACAGCAACACCGCCACAACCCCACAGCAGCCCCACAGCAGCCTCACCTGCATCCACTGTGTCTGCAGCAGTGGGTCATCGACGTGCTCCTTGAGCCCTGCCACCAGGTCCAGGTTGGTGATCCATGACTCCGTGCCCAGCCACACACACAAACCATCACGGCCACACAGCCCCACAGCCCCACAGCAGCCGTACCTGCATCCACTGTGTCTGCAGCAGTGGGTCTTCCACGTGCTCCTTGAGCCCTGCCACCAGGTCCAGGTTCGTGATCCATGATACTGCATGGCTCCCATGCTGCAATGCACACGGCACTCCGCCACACAGCCATGCAGCACACAGTCACAGCAGCCGTACCTGCATCCACTGTGTCTGCAGCAGTGGGTCGTCCACGTGCTCCTTGAGCCCCGCCACCAGGTCCAGGTTCGTGATCCATGACTCCGTGCCCAGCCACTGCGTCAGGATCCCCGCCAGCCCCGGGTTGCAGAACGCCAGCCACCGACGCTGATAAGGGGGGGGGGGGTTGGGAGGGGAGGGGGACATGGAGTGGGGCACGTGGAGGAGTGAGAGGGAAATAGGCCAGCCACTTGGTGAAAAACGCTGCCAGCCCCGGGTTGCAAAACGCCGGCCAGCAACGCTGAGAGAAGCAGCGAGGTTGGAGAGGAAGGGCAAGTGGAGTGGGGAGGAAAGAGCCCAGCCACTTGGGCCGGATTGCTGCCAGACCCGGGATACAGATTGTTAACCAGTGTTGCTGAGAGGGGAGCAGAGAGCTTGGAAGTGGAGGGCAAGGGGAGCGGTATGGGCGGGTACACAGCCGCTTGGGTCAACATCATGCCGCGCTGACAATGGGGTGAATGTACGGCTTGTAAGATTGGCACGGCAGGTGAACGAGAGGGCTGACTGTAATCGGCAATCAGCAGAGATGGAAACCTGATGACGGAGGCACGATCTGGTGCGGGGCGGCTCACCTGGGTGACACCGTTTGTCTTGTTCTGGAACTTGTGTGGCCAGATGTCATAGAAGTCCTGCAAGCGGGCGGCGAGAGGCAGGGTTTAGAAACACACATGCACACACCCACACATGCCCTTCAACTAGCCTGAATCTCCAGCCCCCACAAGTGCATGACATGAACGCGAATACATGATCACGAGCACGCATGCATGTTTGCATGGCATCCATCCAGCCACCAACCTCTCTGCTTGCTTCCCCTCCTCTCTGCAGTATTTCCTACTTCTCTGATCACTCTCACTCTTCTCTGCTCTCTCTCCCTCTTCTCTGCCCCCTTTCCCGCCTCTCCACTCCCCTTTCATGCTCTCTGCGATCACCTTGAAGAGGGTGTTTTGAATGAGGGCACCGTGAAGAGCGTGTTTTGAATGAGCGCGCGCACCTTGAAGAGGGTGTTTTGAATGAGCGCACCTTGAAGAGGGTGTTTTGAATGAGCGCACCTTGAAGAGAGTGTTTTGAATGAGCGCACCTTGAAGAGGGTGTTTTGAATGAGCGCACCTTGAAGAGAGTGTTTTGAATGAGCGCACCTTGAAGAGGGTGTTTTGAATGAGCGCACCTTGAAGAGGGTGTTTTGAATGAGCGCACCTTGAAGAGAGTGTTTTGAATGAGCGCACCTTGAAGAGGGTGTTTTGAATGAGCGCACCTTGAAGAGGGTGTTTTGAATGAGCGCACCGTGAAGAGGGTGTTTTGAATGAGCGCACCTTGAAGAGAGTGTTTTGAATGAGCGCACCTTGAAGAGGGTGTTTTGAATGAGCGCACCTTGAAGAGAGTGTTTTGAATGAGCGCACCTTGAAGAGGGTGTTTTGAATGAGCGCACCTTGAAGAGGGTGTTTTGAATGAGCGCACCTTGAAGAGAGTGTTTTGAATGAGCGCACCTTGAAGAGGGTGTTTTGAATGAGCGCACCTTGAAGAGGGTGTTTTGAATGAGCGCACCGTGAAGAGGGTGTTTTGAATGAGCGCACCTTGAAGAGGGTGTTTTGAATGAGCGCACCTTGAAGAGAGTGTTTTGAATGAGCGCACCTTGAAGAGAGTGCTTTGAATGAGCGCACCTTGAAGAGGGTGCTTCGAATGAGCGCACCTTGAAGAGGGTGTTTTGAATGAGCGCACCTTGAAGAGGGTGTTTTGAATGAGCGCACCTTGAAGAGGGTGTTTTGAATGAGCGCACCTTGAAGAGGGTGTTTTGAATGAGCGCACCTTGAAGAGGGTGTTTTGAATGAGCGCACCTTGAAGAGGGTGTTGTGAATGAGCGCACCTTGAAGAGCGTGTTTTGAATGAGCGCACCTTGAAGAGCGTGTTCTGGATGAGGTCTGTGTGGATTTGAGACACGCCATTGATGGTATGGCACGTCACCACCGCTAGCGTTGCCATGCGGATGCTCTGGAAAGAAGGGGGAAGGAGAGGGTGGAGAGGTAATGGAACTCTTTGCAACCAGTCATGGCATGTCAATACCACCTGTGTTGCCATTTGGATGCGCGGGGGAGAAGGGGTAGGAAGGACAGGGGGAGTATAGGAGGACAGGCACGGCCATCATCATGGTTTAGGGAGGAGAAAATGCTTTAAGAATGGCTTAGGGGCGAAGACATTATAATGACATCTCCAACTTGAGCGTGCCCTCCCCACATTTTGCATGCTCTTCCCGTAACCACAGTGTGCGCCCTCTCCCCTTCCCCCACCGTGTGCGCGCCCTACCCCTCACTCCCCAAACTTGCACACCCATTTTCCCCATCCCCCACCTTGCGCGCCCTCTCCGTGCGCCCTGTTTCCTCCCCCCCCTTCCCCACCATGTGTGCGCCTTCCCCCCCACCTTGCGCGCCCTCCCCCACATTGTGCGGGACCTCCCCTCTCCTCTCTCCCCAACCCACAGCCTGTGCGCGCCCTCCCCCCACCTTGTGCGCGCCCCCCCCCCCCACTTTGTGCGCCCCCCACCACCTTGTGCGCCCCCCACCACCTTGTGCGCGCCCCCCTTTCCCCCCACCTTGTGCGCACCCCCCCCTCCCCCCACCTTGTGCGCACCCCCCCCCTCCCCCCACCTTGTGCGCACCCCCCCCCTCCCCCCACCTTGTGCGCACCCCCCCCTCCCCCCACCTTGTGCGCACCCCCCCCCTCCCCCCACCTTGTGCGCGCCCTCCTCAATGATGGACATGCGGGAGAGGCGGTCGTAGTCATTGCCGATGCGCTTCTTCAGGTCCACGATGAAGTTGTGGTTGATCTCGTACATGATCTGATGGGGGGAGGGGAGAAAGTGGGGGGATGAAATCAGGGCAATGTGTTTCTTGATGAAGTTGTGGTTGATGTCGTACATGATCTGCCGTGGGGATGGGGAGAGAGGAGGGGGGGAATGAAACAGGCACAAGTGTCAGCCAGCAGAGGATCCAACTTGAGAAGCCTCAAACGACTGAATTTTAGATGCGATAGCAGCAGCGTCTCAGAGATCTGCACAAACCACTGAAAATCTCACAAACTGACCTCCAGGTGCTGCCCCAGCAGCAGTGTCTCAGAGGTCTGTCTGCACGAGATATTTCTGAGAACCCCACAAACTGACCTCCAGGTGGCGCAGCAGCAGCATCTCAGAGGTCTGCCTGCACGAGCGACTTCTGAAAACCCCACAACAAACTGACCTCCAGGTGGCGCGGCAGCAGCGCCTCTAAGATCTCCACAGGCCATTTCTCCAGCGCCTCGGGCAGCACGGTGTGGTTGGTGTAGGAGAAGGTGTGCGAGGTGATGTTCCACGCGTACCCCCACTCCAGCCCCTCCTCATCCACCAGCAGGCGCATCAGCTCCACCAGCGCCAGCACCGGGTGCGTGTCGTTCAGCTGCAGCGCCACCTTGTCCTTGAACTCGTCGAACGTGGTGTGCTCCTCCTTGTAGCGCCGCACCACGTCTTGCATGGTGGCGGACACGAAGAAGTGCTGCTGCTTGAGGCGCAGCTCCTTGCCCTGGTACGTGCGGTCGTCGGGATAGAGAACGCTGCTGATGGCTTCGGCTTTCTGCTTGCTCAGAATCGCGTTCACGTAGTCCCCTGTGTTGAAGCTTTGCTGTGGGGGGGCGGGGGTTGCGGAGGGGGAGGGGTGGGGTGGGGTGGGTGAAAGGGGAAGAAAGGGCAAGAAAGGCAGTGTTAGGGAACTTGTGGAGCGAGGAGTGCTGCTGAGTGCTCCTCCTTGTAGCGCCGCACCACGTCTTGCATGGTGGCGGACACGAAGAAGTGCCGCTGCTTGAGGCGCAGCTCCTTGCCCTGGTACGTGCGGTCGTCGGGGTACAGTACGCTGCTGATGGCCTCCGCCTTCTGCTTGCTCAGAATCGCGTTCACGTAGTCCCCCGTGTTGAAGCTTTGCTGGGGGGGATTGCGGAGCAAGGGGAAGAGGGGGGTGGGTGGGAGGGTGGGTGAACGGGACACGGCAATATTAGAGAGATTGAAGGAAATGTGGATAAAAAAGGGTGCGAGGGAAGAGGGTAACGCACGAGAGTGTGCTGGGACACTAAGATGGCGAACGTCAAACATCAAGGCACACAATGGAAAACACGCCTTCGCTGTTCACTGGCTTCCTCTCGTACTGACCAGGTCGAACTCGCCACTGGGCTTTGCGCCCCAGAGGCGCAGGTTAATGGTGTTGTTGGTGTGGTAACCTGGGATTGGGTTGTCGTACGCCACTGCCTCCACCTGGTGAGGAAGAACGAATGGACACAAGGGGCCAGTTGAAGGGAGTAGATGAGTGAATGGGAGGAGTCACAAAAGGGCAAAAGCAGAAAACAGCGAACGAAACGACAAAGGGAGGAGGGGGGGAAGGCGGGAGGAGGGACAGCAGGAGGAAGAGAGGGTGGAGTGGGGCTGACCGTTTCTCCCTCGACCCATCGCTTGCGGGGGTGGCCGGCCTCGGTGTATGACTCAACAGTGCCGTAGAAGCGCACAGGGTACGTCACAAACACACGCTCTATCTCCCACGGATTGCCAAACGTCAGCCAGTAGTCCGGCTGCTCGTGCTGAAAGCCGTCCTGCAGCGTCTGCCTGAACATGCCATACTGGTAGCGGATGCCGTAGCTGGGTGTGAGGGTGTGGGGAGGAGGGGATGGGGGGAAGGGGTAAGGGAGAGAGGGGCAAGGGGGGAGAGGGGTTGTGGGAAGGGGGTGGGGGGGGAAGAATTGATGGAAGTGGGAGAGGAGACTGGAAAAGAAGTAGGGAGGTTAAGAGCACGGATGTTTAAAGCATTGAAAGATTTGCAGGGCAGCGTCTGTCCTTAGGATAATCTTGGCACGGGCTAGCAGATGAGTTTCAAAATAAGCTATATTTTCTGGAAACAGCTCACAGTAGGCATGAGCAAGGGCTCGGCCCGCCGGGGTTTTGGCCGGGTCGAGTCATTCCTCTGGTGGTGGGCTCGACCCGATCAAATCGACCTGACTCGACCCGACCCGACCCGACCCGACCCGACCCGACTCTTAGGTAGGGATTTTCCAGCGAGTCGACCCAACCCGATTCCAGGTACTTGCCGACCCAACACCTTTCACCCTGGTCAGGTCGGGAAAATTCTCAGGCCGACCTGACCTGGGTTGACCCGACCTGAGCAAAACCGGGCTGGGTAGGGTCGGGTCAATCCGTTGCTCATCTCTAGGTCACAGGGGACCAAAAGGGCTGGTTGCTTACCCCCATCCAGGGTAATTGAGTGTGGCCATGCTGTCGAGCACACAGGCTGCCAGGCTGAAACACACAGGCACGAAGGAAGCAGGTCACAAACGTATCATGACAGAAATAAACGAAGGAAATCAGCAAGAGAACTGATAAAGACAGACGAAATCACAGCAGGTAGCATGCTCTGGCACAGCAGGTGCTGTATGCAAATACACAGACATCCGTAGGGTAAATTCTAGCTGCTTGCTTGTCGCGGAACAGGAAAAGCATGTCTCTCTTGAACAACAATGGAACCAGGTAATGGTTATGCGCCGCTCACAATATCAGAAGGACAACACGATCCGCATATGAGCTGAAAGAAGCTGCAAAAGGCTTTGCAGCAGCAGCAGCAGGAGAAGCAGTAGGGGAAGACTGACCGGCCGAGGCCACCATTGCCGAGAGCAGCATCCCTCTCCTGCTCCGCCAGCACCTCGAGCTTGTACCCCAGCTGCCCCAGCGCCTCCACGTACTGGTCCTTCATGCCCAAATTGAAGATGCTGTTCAGTAGCGACCGCCCTGTGACAGGTGAAGAGGTGGACAGTAGACCGACGGCAATGAAGACAGGCAGCGACGTGGACGGTGAGCCATGCAATACAAACAGTACAGATGCACATGCTGGGGAATTACCCATGAGGAACTCAATGGACCCGCTTGGAGTCCTGGCCCTTTGAAGTCGACATGCTATGACGCCTTGGGAACAGCCATTGCGATGGTAGGTACCTCAGCCTCAGCCCGTGCGTACCCATGGGAACTCCATGGAGAGGTAGTAGACGCGCTTGGAGTCCTGGTCCTTGAAGTCGAGATGCTATGATGCTTTGGGAACAACAATTGCAATGGTAAGTACCTCAACCTTAGCCCGTGCGTACCCATGAGGAACTCCATGGAGAGGTAGTAGACGCGCTTGGAGTCCTGGTCCTTGAAGTACTGCTGCGTGTCGTTCCAGCTCTCAATCAGCCGGTCCCTCACGCTGTACGCTGTCGCCTGAGAGACCCAACGACACAGAAAGAGCACAATAGCAGAACGTTGAACTTGTGCTCTCGTATTTTGGCTTACGAAAATAGAAACAATATAAAACCAAAATAACTCCTCGCTTCATTAAGTTTGGTTCAACTTCTAAAGACCTATCAGGGACAGATTACCACGAGAATGAAAGAAATGGGGGGACAAAGTGCTAACAGGGATAATTTATCTCAACCATTCAGATCCTGATGGTCCTCGCGCTCACCTGGTAAGCCTCGAAGTCGTCGAATTTGTATCTGCTGCGCGCCATGGTGTACTCCACGTGATCCACAATGCTCCTCTGAATCGAAAGCACGTCGTTCTTGATGTACGTGTCCATCAGGTTGTGCAGCAGCTCCGTACGCCGTTTCAATTCGGGCGAAGCCGAAGGGTCCAGCGATGTGACCGGCCTGATAAGTCTCGCGGGCCGGACGGAAGAATCTTTCGGCGGGTCATTCTTGGCGTCGAGAACCAACGCTCTCACAACGCACTTGCGGATGTTCTGCAGATCGCGTTTCTGGGTGATTTTTTTTCCGTCAACGGCCGTGACGTAAAACGCGTCGGCCACGTTACCGTCATCGTCAAGATCGACGACTGCCTTGCCAACGTCCAGGCCGAGATCACGAAACGTGAGTGTTAAAAGCTGGAGCAATCCAGGTCTGTTAGGCGCGCTGACAGTGATAATAGTGTAGTTCTCGCTGGTCTCGTTATCCACTGAAACAACGGGCTCGCCGGGAGCTGGGGTTGACGAGAAGACCTTGCTGAAATCCAGCAGCAGAGAAATCTCGCCGTCCGCGCGAGCTCGAACCTGGACTCCGCGCCTCTTACGGGAAACTCCATCTCTGTCAATGTTATTGTTTCTACCCGATGCAGCCGAACGGCGGAGGTTAGAAGGAATCTTCACCGCGAGCTTGGGATGAGAGATTCCGAGCCCGATAAAGCTACTGGCAGCGCGAAGAGCGCCTGCCATGGTTCCAGAAACCGTGCGAAATTCTTAAAGATTTTAGTATATCGGCTTGAAGCGATCAAGTTCAAGCGTTGCCGCTTGTAATGCTCGCGGCAAGACACCTGAGAGCCGAAGCAGCACAGGCGTCAGTGAGCCAACTGAAGGATGTGAGGTGGGATTCGGGACAGGATCAAGATGGAAGAAGCGGGGAGTGAAGGGGGTGGGATTTGTAGGAGATGCGAGGAGCCGGGAACCTCGAGTTTGTCAGTGCAGGCTCCAGAAGACCCCAGCCCAGACACCAGATCAAGGACTGAGCGACCACCTTGGGGTTGTACCAACAAAGCCACATACAATGCCAAACACCTCGGGAATTCCGAAAGTGGTACTGTACAAGCTTTTCTTGGGATGCAGCCTTCATTACAACCCCCTGACGTTTGAAGATGCCTGAAACGAGGACCTAGCGCAGTGGGTGACTGGACGAGTTGCCGACAGACAGGTCAGTCTCAGTCTTTCCTGATTGGTTTCTTTTCCTCGTGTTTTGGGGCCGCTGTTGACGAGGATCTGATCTGCCCCTGGGCTTTGCCCGTTCTCGTTAGAGGGTACACATTCAGCAAGTTTCAGTGAGGTTTATCATCAGGTGGACAGGAATCTGCTCTAATTTCATTGTGAGAATGTGGTAACTGGAGCCGTGGTTGGGAGCCACAGTGCAATGAATCATGGATACCCCTGCTTAATGGATTGTCTAACCTTCCTGACTGTGGCCCGCATATATAAAAATGAGAACATTGATACACTTGACTACCACATCCACAGCGATCGTTCCTAACAAATCCTAATAGACATGTCATCTCTCATACACCACTTTCAACTTTGATGCCAGCACGTCCATTGAAGGTCGTGTCTCCCACTTCCCTGCAACTGCATACTTCACCAGAGTTAACGCCATAAGTGCATCTTTTTTTGTCCACTGCCCGACCAGTGTCTGATCTATCACTTTGTCCGCTTCGGGCAGGTCAGCCCCTGTGGCAAGGGTCATTCGCAAGGCCTCAAAGTTTTTGTCAGTGACCAACATGCCTGTTACAAGCTCGAGGAGGAAGATCCCAAACGCATACGTGTCACACTTGGCGTTCAGATGACCTGCGTCGCACACAAATAAAAAGCAATGAAGGAAAACAGAAGCCTACACAGAAGAGAACAACTCATAAGAAAACATTCGCAGGAATGTCTCGCTTCACCAGTACCATCGACGAAGCCCATCCACAGCAACATCATCTTCAACTGGAGTCAGGGAACGAGACTTTTGACAAACAAGGACAAAAATGAAGTGTGGGCGTACCAGACTCGAAGTAGACGGGGTCGATGTAACCCGTGGAGCCCATGACCCGCGTGGTGACGTGGCTCTGCCAGTTGTTTACTGTGCGTGCCAAGCCAAAGTCCGCCAACACTGGCGTCAGGTCCTGGAGGAGCCATGACGGGTGGATGCAGAGGAGAGACAGGGGATCTTTGAGTCCACCGTAAAAAAAAAAATGATTTTCCAGTTGACTCAAAAACGTGCGCGCCAATCCAAAGTCCGCCAGCATTGGGGTCAGGTCCTGGAGGAACCATGGCAGGTGGATGCGGAGGAGATATATAGGGGATCAAGAAGGGATGGGTTGGAATGGAGCCTGCTTGCATGTGGGATGGAGGCTGTTCTGCATGCACATGCATGCATCCCCGCATGCGTGCCGAACGTAATAATAATAATAATAATAATAATAATAATAATAATAATAATAATAATAATAATAATAATAATAAATAATAGTAATAATAATAATATAAAAAAAGTCAGGCGCAACACATGCACCTGGACAAGCAAGCACAACACACCTCGCGCAGCAGCACGTTGGAGGCCTTGAAGTCGCGGTGCACGTAGTTGTGGCTGTGCATCACCTGCAGCGCCTGTACTGTGCTCATTGAGGGGCCTACCCCCTGCTCCCCCCACAAGCACAGGGCCCACAGCAACACACCCACACAGACAAGCGCAACACACGCAGAGCTGCACACACCTCACGCAGCAGCACGTTAGAAGCCTTGAAGTCGCGGTGCACGTAGTTGTGGCTGTGCATCACTTGCAGCGCCTCCGCGCACATCAGAGCTACCCGCAGCCGCGCCTTCCAGGAAAACTCCGCCTTGCCTTGCACCGCTGATAGCCACAGGGAAAAAAAAAAAAAAAAAAAAAAAAAAGGAAAGAAAAAAAGGGGGGATGGGTTGGGCGCGGGAGGGGGGATCAGTGGTGGAAAATGCATCCTCCACAAGAGTTAGCTTCGCCTTGCACTGCTGACAACTGTTGGAAAACGGGAGCGAAAGGGGGTTGGAGTGAGTGGCGAGGGGAAGTAAGGATGGGGGCGAGTGAGTGGCAAGGGTGTTTGGACGTTGAGGGGAAACGCCTCAGCAGAGCGAAGATTTCAAGGCGATCTTTGTTAAAGGCGATTTTTCAAGGGAGCTCGCCTTTGCCATGCAGCACTGCCCCTGCTATGTCAAGAAGCCAGCCAGGCATACCTCGTTTAATGTACGCCTCTGCGTTGCCATCGTTGCTGTTGGTGATGAACTCGTGAATGAGAGGCCATACCTCGTGGGCGATGTTGTAGCCTGCTATTCGACTTGTTGTGTGACGGAGACGCCATACCTCGTCTAAGATACGTGAAATTAGAAGTGTTTTGAGGCGTCACAAAACACTTCTAATTTCACGTGGCTTTTTGACTCGTTGTGTGACGGAGAGGCCATACCTCGTCTAAGATACGCCTCTGCGTTGCCGTTGGTGATGAACTCGTAGATGAGCGCAGGCGTGGGCTTGGCCACATAGCCGTACAGCGACAGGATGGTGGGGTGCGACAGCTGCTCCATTGCCATCAGCTCCGCCTGAGAGGAAAAGGAGGGGATAACAAGGTACGGCGAGGGAGAGACGGTGAGAAGGTAGTGAAACAGGAAGCTGGAGGAGGGGCGAATGGACATGGAGCGTAGTTTTGAGGTGCCTCAAAGCTGGAGGAGAAGCGAATGGACATGGAGCGTAGTTTTGAGGTGCCTCAAAGCTGGAGGAGAAGCGAATGGACATGGAGCGTAGTTTTGAGGTGCCTCAAAGCTGGAGGAGAAGCGAATGGACATGGAGCGTAGTTTTGAGGCACGGCTCTAATAACTCTGCTAAAAAAAAAAAAAAAAAAAAAACAACAACAACAACAAGGTCGCTTTCGAAATAAAATCTATCATTCTTATGCAGCGCTCACATGGAACTGGCTCGTCGTCTTTGAGCTCCACATCCTCGTTATCCAGCACCTTCACGGCATCTCCACTCTCACAAACCCTACTCTCCAACACTCATCGCCCGTATGCCTCATCACAGTAAACACTCATAAGTCTCGAACCCCACTCACATGGAACTGCTCGTCGTCTTTAAGCTCCACGTCCTCGTTATCCAACACCTTCACCGCCACAGCCACCAAAACCTGCTCCGCCGCTTCAGCCCCTCCTTGCCCCTCACCACCACCACCCACCGCTGCCGCTGCTGCTGCTGCTGCTGCTGCTACTGCTGCAGGGTCCTGCAGGTAGCCCTTGTACACGACCCCGAAGCCGCCCTGGCCGATGGGCTTCTTGAGGCGGTCGGTGATGAGCATCATCTCATCGTATGTGTACTCCGGGAACCCCGCCCCCACCGCCCTCTTCACCGGGTAGTTTGACGTCTCTGGGGGTGAAAAGGGAAGGGAGGGAGCGGCGAGCGGAGGACAAATGGGGGAAAGGGGAATGGGCAAGCGGTGAGGGGGAAGGGGAGTGAAGGGAGGGGAGAAAGAAGGGTCCTGTCCTGCAGGTAGCCCTTGTACACGACCCCGAAGCCGCCCTGGCCGATGGGCTTCTTGAGGCGGTCGGTGATGAGCATCATCTCATCGTATGTGTACTCCGGGAACCCCGCCCCCACCGCCCTCTTCACCGGGTAGTTTGACGTCTCTGGGGATGAAAATTCAGGGGGGGGGGGGGAGTGGAGGAGAAACAGGGGCGGAAATGGGGGGAAGAGAAAGGGGAGGAAGATGGGCAGGGGGGGGGGGGGGGGGGTGGGGGGGGGGGAAGGGGCGGGAAAGGGGAAGGGGAGTGAAGGGTGGGAAAAAAAGGGGGTTGAAGGGCGAGGTGTTATGGAGCGGGCGGAGGGGAGCATCGGAAGGGGAGGACGGAGGGGGGGGACAGTAGAGAAGCAAGCTGGACGGCGGGAAACATGGGGGTGGGCAAAGAAGCATCAAAACGCCATCGCAAATGGAAAAGGCACGGAGAACTGTTGCAGGAACGACGTTTGAGGAAATCGCGTTGTGTAGAACGTGTGAACGGGCAGGAGGGGGCAGGAGGGGATGGATTCGGAGAGAAGTTGAAGGCAGGACGAATGGAGACGGCAGGCAACGAAGGCGGGGGGGAGGAAGGGAAGAAGGGGCAGCGAGGGGGTGGAGGAGAGCGGAAGGGGTGGGCGACGACAAGCAGCACAAACGCAAAACTTGACGCGGAATGTGCGAGCCAGAATTCCGGTTCATGAGAATTGAACCTATTGACTTTAATGAACTCTGCAGGACACAGGTGATCCGAGCTCTTGTTTGTACGTACTCGCATCGCTGCTGGGCTGCGACAAGCAACCCCCCATGGGGAGGGCCTTCGCTATGAAGCGCTTCCTCGAAACTCCGTGGAATGCTGCCTGGAGGCCCTTCGCTCTGAGACGCCGCCTCTTTTACGCTACGCGGAATGCAGTCTGCAGGCGCGCACGCCGCTCGCGTCAATCAAACGACAAAGCGAGCTGGTCAGATGTTAGCGGCTTTAATGGTTCCTGATGTGTGCAGCTCTATATCTCTTGGTGTGCGGCGCTTCGAAGTGGAGATATTATTTCTACGTCAGAAACGGAGTATAAGCCAGCTCTCGCGAAGAAAAGATGGAGAAACTTCCCACTCGCTGCGAAACGAGGGGTCGACTGCGTGTACCGTTCATAGAACGTGAGACTTCTGCATCTTCCCTAACGCCACAAACCTACTACTAGTAGTATTACATAGGACTAGAAGCAATGTGTCTGCTCATGTGAAGCATGCTAACCGTAGAATAAATTAGCGGTGTGGGTAACAGCTAAGGACGTGATATTGCTGCACGCGTCGAACACACGCCGTAATAACCAAGAATTAAGCGATAAGTTAGGACGAAACGTGGAGATATGTGGAGGAGTTACTGAGGTCGGGCGACGGTACAGCGTTGCAAAGGCAGTCCATGATTGATGGGGCTGGCCTGCTTCTAGAACGAACATGGAACTTGGCGGATACTATCGAGGTTCGTCCCTCGACGCAACTATCTGTATTCAGAACGGTCCGGTAGGGTTTCGAGCGAGGAGGAGAATATGCTCTTGCAGCTCACATGGTTGACGAGGCAAAGGAGGGTTGGTTGTTTGGGATGATATCGAGGTTGACCGGAACAACAATCCTTGACCACGCTGCACAATGGGGTACTGTATGCTGTAACAAACGAACCACTATAGTTCTGAAAAACGAAACCACAACTATATTTGTAGAACCCATTTCCATATAGCATTGAGCAATCAAGATGATCCATTTTCTTGAGAGTCGTGCTCACTTTTAGGCTCATCATTAGGTACTGGTAGTTTGATTGCCACTTTCAGCACTTCCAAAACCTCCTCCATGGTTGGACGATCAGCCCACTCCCTGGCTGTCGACTGCTTGGCAATTATCGCGATGGCGCTCGCTTCCGTCTTGTTTGCCTCGTTGATAATTGCGAGGTCCATCATATCCGCAGCGGTGGGAGCATCCGCCTCGTATAACCACGCCTTAATGTCTTCCGCAAAACCTTGCCGAAGAACCGACTTGCCCGCGAGAATCTCAACCATGAACAGGCCGAAAGCGAACACGTCACTCTTGTCACACAAGTGACCTGATATGGAACAAGGGCAGACAGGCATAATGCACATCCATGCACAGGGGCTTGAGATGCATAACAAGGGGAGCCACATGCATATAAGCAGGCACAGAGGGGAGCCACATGCATAAATACAGGGGGAAAAAAACCCTGTGAGGCCATTTCAGCTCTATGTCAGCAATTGCAACTCACCTGACTCAAAGTATGTGGGATCGATGTACCCCATGGAGCCCATGACTCGTGTTGTGACATGCGTTTTCCAGTCCTCTATGCCCTTGGCCAGACCAAAATCAGCCACCTTCGGTGTGAAGTCCTGTGATAAGAGGGGAACAAGGGAAAACGGAGAGGAGGGAGCAAGGCTGGGGGAGGATAGATATGGCAGTGGCACGGACAAAGGGAGGACAGAGCAGACTGCAAAAGCAACAACACACTGACGAGCTAGCAACTAACTACATGCCGTTGTAGCCAACATGACTGATTATGCTCTGTTGTGTTGAGGGAGGGTGATGCAGGGGGGACAAACGAGGGCAAGAATGCTTACTTCCGTTAGAAGCACATTGCTGGACTTAAAGTCCCGGTGAATGAACCGCTGCTTGTGGATGAACGTCATTGCCTCAGCTGTTCCCATAATCACTTTCATCCGGTCAGCCCAGGAAAACTTTGCCTTGCCATCCGAACCTGTGCCACATGGAGGGAACCATGAAAGGTAGAGGCAAGGGAAAAAAAAAATGGCAGTTGTATGTCAGTGTTTCACCAAGATACTCCGGTAGCATCTGCAGTGGTAGACCATGATCCATACAAACTGTCTAAACTCCATCTAACCCATACCCGCCTTGTGTGCAAGCAGCTCATGCTCCAGAATTTGGCTTTCTTCCCACCCAGAAACGCTTTCACCACGCACACGCACATAGAAACAATCTAACACTCCATCTGGCACGTAATCCAATCGTGTGCAAGCAGCTCATGCTCCACTCTTTGACTTCATTTCCTCGCAAAAATACTTGTACCACGAGCGTACGCACATTTTGCAAGCCATGCGTCGACATCGCCCATGGGGATGAACTCGTATACCAGCGCCTTGACCTTCTCCGTGCAGCACGCCAGCAGCCTCACAATGTTGGGATGCTGCACGCCCTCCACTGTAGTGATCTCGTTCTGTATCGGGTATAAAAGGAGACATGAGGAATTGAGGGATGAACCAGCTGAGCACACTCTAAATGTAGACTCTGAACACATGTAGCGCACAAGCCTCACATTTGACGCTAAACGCAATAGTCATGTAACGTGCAAGCACTATTTTTTAGCTGAACATATTACGGGTGTAGCCTCCAAGCGCCATATCAATAGCTGAACACTGAACACTTTATCCTTGTACCCTGCAAAGCCCCACATTACTAGCTGAACATGTTACCAATGGAGCCTGCAAGCTCCAGGGTACATGCCCGTCCCCTGCTTTGCAGCGCTCACCCTTCCATGCGCTCATCCTTCTAGACCATTTGAAGCTGATAAGAGCCACTCACCAGAAACTCGTCCATTCCTTGGAAACTGTGAGGAGCCAGAACTTTGATCGCAACGAAAGTCGTTTCCTCGTCAGCTTCCCCGTTAACGCCGCGCAACCGGCCTTTATACACCTTACCGAACCCCCCTTCACCGAGGACGTTGGCAAAATTGTCCGTGGCTCGCTTAATGTCTTCGTAAGTGAGGAATTTTATAGACGACTCGTTACCGTCGTCTACCGATGATTTCGCATTTGAAAGAGAGGGTACTGGCTTGGAGTCTGTAACGAAACGGCAGTGCGAGTGGAAACGAAACGGGGGAAGAGCGCTTGTGAATAACACAAAGAATTCCTTAACTCAAGCATTTGAAAATTACGTCATGGGGTTTGGAACAACAAGGGGTACGATTGAAAGAAAGTAGCTCGCAAGTTCAAGGTTAATCCGAGTGACTTACTCCGTGATATTGGGATGCTATCCCCGCTTGGTCTTGAGTTGAAGCAACCCATGTCAACCAAAAAAAAAGGGCGAACTGGATGGAAATATCCAAAATTACTACTATTAGCGACAGTTAACTCGTGCAACGTCCAGCATTGCAATGCAGCACTGCCAGGAACGGTGGTTCGGAGTCGCCTTTGATCGGCACCTAAAACTACACAGCACCGCGAACGGAATGACACTAAAAAACGAAGTGGCGCAACATGAGCAAGTATGAAGCCACGCGTCGTCCCATTGCGTAATCTGTAATATAAGGCCTCCCAGCACCTACGTAGCAGAATCGGTCCTCCTGACAGATTTACTAGTTACAGTGAAACCTAAAGACGAAAAGGCACGTTCGGGGCCTGTCACGTCCGATGCTTCCTAGAGAGGAACGCCGGGAGAGCCGTCGGACAAGCAGGTACGTCGTGTTGAACCACTTGTGCTAAACTACTCTTATCTCCTATCCTAGAACCTGCCGGTTCAGCTGTAACGAGTAATCGCAGTTGTTGGTGCGGGACTCCCAAGGCTCCCTCCAACAACCAGCAGGCCGTCGGCACGTGGCTGGTGTCGACGACTCGGCTCGGACGAAGCTCGCTCACCCTGCTGCCTACCCTACTGCCTCACCCTGCTGCTGGCCCTGCTGTTCGCCCTGCACGTTCACCGTCCTCGCCTATTCGATTATGACTTACGGGTTTATACACAGCCCTAACCTTTTCTCCCTTTCTACAAAATAATAATAATGCATGGTGACCTACGATATGAATGTCATGCATCACGAATCTCTTGCTCTACGAATATAAAACTACTTTGATTATTATTATTTATATTGATGTTGCTGATCGTGCATAGATTCAATCACAGGAAAAAGGCATTCTCCTAAGACTTGTAATATATTGTCTAATGTTCTATACAGTGCTGAATCGTTTTATTCGGGCACCGCCCTGTCGCAGGTCATCCATTTTCCGAAGGCGCCAACAACAGCTAAAATTGCCGGTGGGAGTTCTTACACCGGGCGTGACAATGCCGCGGCTCCTTCTAACGGATGCCATTCCACCCTCCCTCAGCCTCTACCAGCAGCTGTTCCGTTTCCACTCCAATCCAATTTTCCTGCTCACTCACACACCATCGCCATGTTCCTGGAGATTCCTCCATCCAGCCATGGCGGTGGCCTGGAATTGTAATTTCAATTCAGTCAAACTGGCGTGACGGTTGCGGGCCTAAATCTATTTCCAATCTCGGTACTCGTTTGAGCACTTGCGCTTGCTTCTGCTAGCATCCTGCCAGGCCATTCCACCCTGCTTTCCTGGCCAAGGAACTGCATCCCAGAAACAAATATTCGTCAGATTTTTCCGATATCCAATCTTCAATCATGCAGTCGTTTTGGAGAGCTCGTAAGATCGACGAGGTGACGTCAGATGACGACAAGATCGCTCCCGTCTATCGCCTGGACGAGATATGCTCGGACGTGCTGTCGAGTCCGTCCGAGGTGGTGAAGGAAGTAGTCGATTACATCATGCAGCGCCTCAACCACTCCTCGCCCTTCGTCAAGCTAAAGGTGCGGGAAGGATCAACCAGTAACCATAGAGTAACTATCCAGGCGACGCTAGAGTAATCCTGCAGTCGAGTCCATCGGAGGTGGTGAAGGAAGTAGTCGATTACATCATGCAGCGCCTCAACCACTCCTCGCCCTTCGTCAAGCTAAAGGTGCGTGAAGAATCAACGGTAGGTAACCCTAGAGTAACCCTACAGCCGACCATAGCGTAATTCTGGATGTCAAGTTCATGCAGCGGATGTTAACCACTCTCGCCCTTCATCGAGCAAAAGGTGGGGGAAAGGTGAGGAATTTAGTCAATCTTGTGGCGGGAAAGTTGAGGGATTGACTCATTATTGCCGACTGATTTCGACCTAGTTTTGGCGTCGATTGCGGTAACGCTGTGACCAGAAATTTACGATGTCGTTCTGCGTACTCAGCGTTCGCGTGCCAGTTTCGATCACTTCTCCTCTGACGAGCTTTGCCTGTTTGTGTTTCTGACATGATTGCCTGTGTTTCAGGCATTCGAATAGTTTTTTCAGGGCGGCAATCAACTGGACCGACTGTTTCTCTTCCCTGTAGCTTGTGACCGAGTTTCCTCTTCTCTTCCCCTCCCTCTTCCTCCGTCTCTCCCTCTTCCCTTCATCTCGCTTCTCTTCCCATCATTCGCTGCCCCAGTCCCTGCGGCTGATCAAGTACACAGTCTCGCGGGCAGGCACGGAGTTCCGCCGCAGCATACAGCGCCACTCCGCCACCATCAAGGGCATGGTCCACTATCGCGGACAGCCGGATCCGTTAAGAGGCGACGCGCCCAACAAGGCCGTCAGGGAGGCGGCGCAGGAGGCGGTGCAGGCGATTTTCAACCCACAGAACGATATCAAACCAGGCGCAGGCGCCGCGGGCGTCAGTGGCGGCGGCGGCAGTGCCTCTACCGGAGGTGGCTATAATGGGTATGGGCCCAGCGGCGGGATGGAGGGCGGGCGGCGTCGAATGGAGGGATTTGGAAGCACCCCGGCGAGGGGAGATGGGGGTGCTGGGGGCGGCGGGGGGGGGAGGGGTGGCGGAGGAGGAGGCGGAGCAGGGGGGATCGGCGCTGTGTTGGGTGTGAGTAGCGAGTCGATCCGGCAGGGGATCAGCAAGCTGGCGGGTGTGGTGGGGCAAGGCGCAGGAGGCTCCGCGCGGGGGAAGGCAGGCGGGGGGGAGTTTGAAGAACCAGCAGGCGGGGGAAGCTACGTTGGGCCGCGGTTGGACACGGTAGGGGGCGGTGGAGATGCATACGGGTATGGAGGCAGCGGGTATGGTCACGGAGATGGGTCGTCCTACCACCAGCAGCGGTACCCTGGTCCTTCCTCCTCCTCCTCCTCTTCCTCGTCTGGTGCGTCTAAGTACGTGGGTTTTGACCGGCAGGGGCGCACGTTCGACGCGTCTACTAACTCGTACTCGCCTGCTGCGGCACCTGCGGGTTACTCTGGCGCGGGCAGGGACAGAGAGTATGGGTCGGACCGAGGGTACAGAGCAGGGGGGGGCTATGGCGGTGGTGGGGGAGGGGGAGGAGGGCCGTATGGTGGGGGAGGGGGAGCATATGGCGGTGGGGGCGGGGGGGGATATGGAGGGGGAGGTGCGGAAGAGGACAGGGCAGGAGGGTGGGGCGACGGGGGGCAGCAAGGGGAGGGACGCACTGAGGCAAGTGCATGGGGAGGGCCGTCTGGGTCCGGGGACGGAATTGACGGAGGGGGGGGCGGAGCAGGCGGAGGAGTAGGCGGAGGGGGAGGGGGGAGCAGTGAGGAGGAGCGAGTGGTGGAGGGCATGACGGGGGCAGGCGGGGTGAGGCTGCAGCCCACACGCGAGGCGCTGAGGGGCTTCATTGCGAGCCTGCCGAAGCTGAATGCGGGCGCCGTGGCTCAGGCGCTGGAAGCTCGCCTGCTCAGCAACCTGTGGCAGGTGAGATGCGGATGGTGCTTTTGGTGGCCTCGCAATGAGGTGAACGCGGCCCACACGCGAGGAGCTGAGGGGCTTCATTGCCAGTCTGCCTAAGCTGGACGCGGGCGCCGTGGCTCAGGCGCTGGAGGCCCGCCTGCTCAGCAACCTGTGGCAGGTGAGAGCTGCTGGTGGGTTGGGTGTGCAGCAACCTGCGGCAGGTGAGAGTGTTTGCTGGGTGTGGATTTGGTGGGGGGGAAGCTGTAGCAGGTGAGACCTGCTGGTGGTGGTGCTTCCGGTGGCGTGGCAGTTAGCTGAACGCGGGCGCCGTGGGTCAGGCGCTGGAGGCCCGCCTCCTCAGCAACCTGTGGCAGGTGAGAGCTGCTGGCGATGGCGCTGCTGCTGGTGTGGTGGTGGTGCGTTTATGGCCTTGCAATGAGGTGAACGTGGGTGGAAGCTCGCCTCCTCAGCAACTTGTGGTAGGTGAGAGCTGCTGGTGATGGCGCTTCTGCTGGTGTGGTGGTGGTGCTTTCATGGCCTCGCAATGAGGCGCTGGAAGCTCGCCTGCTCAGCAACTTGTGGCTGGCGGGTTCGGTGTGCAGCAACTTGTGGCAGGAAGTGGGGAAGAGATTCGTTGTGGCAAGGAGGGTAAGAACCTAGGGAAGTGAAGACATAAGGCGAAACATGAGTGGCAACAGGGCGACCCCCAGCATTAGTATATCACTCTCTTCCCGCCCGCCCCCACTCTTCAACAAACCCCCCTGCCTCCCCTCCCCTCCCCTCCCCTCCCGCCCCACCAGATGCGTCTGAAGGCCATGTGTGTGGTGTGGTGTAGGCGGTGCAAGCATGAGGGCGAGTTTGATAATAGCCTCATCACTCCCCGCACTCCCCCGCCCTCGACCCCTTCCCCCCCCCCCCACCAGACACGGCTGAAGGCAATGTGCGTGGTGGAGGCAGTGGTGAGGCAGGAGGGCGACCCTGCTCACCCTTGTCCTCCTCCCCCCCCCTTCCCCTCCGCCGACTTCCCCCCCACCAGACACGGCTGAAGGCGATGTGCGTGGTGGAAGCGGTGGTGCGGCCGGAGGGAGACCCTTGCTACTCACTACTGTGCTCCTGCACTTCCCTTCCCTCTCCCCTCACCCCACGCCCTCCCCATCCATCACCACCAGACACGGCTGAAGGCCATGTGCGTGGTGGAGGCGATGGTGCGGCAGGAGTGGAGGGCAACTCCTGACTAGATCCTCATCTCTCCCCCCCCCTTTCCCCCGCCCTCGCCCCCCTCCCGCCTCCCCCCTCCACCATCAGACGCGGCTGAAGGCAATGTGCGTGGTGGAGGCGGTGGTGAGGCAGGAGGGCGACCCTCAGTGCGACGCCATTTATGATTTTTTCGCTGACAACCCCCACTCACTACTGTCCTCCTGCCCGTCCCTTCCCTTCTCTTTCCTTGACTTCGCCCTGCAGACGCGGCTGAAGGCAATGTGCGTGGTGGAGGCGGTGGTGCGGGAGGAGGGCGACCCTCAGTGTGACGCCATTTATTACTTTTTCGCTGACAACCCCCACGCTCTGCATGAGAACGTGGACTCACCGCAAACCTCACTCAGAGACAAGGCCAAACGGGTAAGTGGGGCTGGTGTGTTTGCTTGTGGGCATGAGAGCGTCTATCTGGTTGACAACCCCCACGCTCTGCATGAGAACGTGGACTCGCCACAGACGTCCCTCAAAGACAAAGCCAAACGGGTACGTGATTGAGCTGGGTGTCCCACCGTTAGTCACCTTATCCCACCTCATTATCAGGCCGACAACCCCCACGCGCTGCATCAGAATGTGGACCCGCCTCAGACGTCCTTCAGAGACAAGGCCAAGCGGGTACGAGATGAATCTGCGTGACCCACAATCACTCCCCTTATCCAATCTGACGGACAACCCCCAAGCGCTGCATGAGAATGTGGACTCGCCTCAGACGTCGCTCAGGGACAAGGCCAAGCGGGTAGGTTTCACCAGGCTGATCCGTCCATGTGTGTGTGCTTGGGGGCATGGGAGCGACTATCTGGCCGACAACCCCCAAGCGCTGCATGAGAATGTGGACTCGCCTCAGACGTCGCTCAGGGACAAGGCCAAACGGGTAGGTTTGAACAACCTCATCTGTGTGTGTGTGCTTGCTTGTGTGTGCAAGGCCAAGCGGGTAGGTGCTGTGTGTGCTTGCTTGTGGGGTGCTGTGTGTGCTTGCTTGTGGGGTGCTGTGTGTGCTTGCTTGTGGGGTGCTGTGTGTGCTTGAGGGCATAAGGCTGACTATCTGGTCGACCACCCCGCTTCCCCCCATGCCATGTGCTTGGTTTCCTGGGCTTGCGTCACCCAATTCCAGGTGCTTGACCTCCTGGGCCTGCGGCACCAGCAAGAGGGGCAGCCATCCCCCCACACACCCCCGCCAGCAGCAGCAGCGGTTGTTGTGCCTGACTTGATCGACGTGGGGGAGGGCGAGGCAGAGGGAGGAGAGGGAGGGGAGGGGAGAGCAGCGGAGGTAGGGGCGATAGCGAGTGGTGATTCGTCCGGTTCGCAGGCGCCTGGTGTGGCTGCAGTAGATGACTTGCTAGGAGGGGGGAGCATGGACCCGTTCAGCTCACTCAACTCCGCTCCCCCTCCTTCGTCTGTTCCCGCTACAGCCGCTACACCTACTACAGCTACTGCAGCTGCTACAGCTGCTACAGCTGTAGCCCAAGACCCGTTTGCTGGTCTCTCTGGTGACGTCACGGCACAAACGGCCGACCTCTTTCAAGGGCTCAGCGTCAACAGTCAAGGCGCTGATGCTGATGCTTCTGGTTCTGCTGCTGGTGGTGGGGCTGCTGCTGGTGCTGTTAATCCTGCTGGTGGCGCCGGTGGTGGTGGGGAAGGGGGAGATCTGTTTGCGGGTATGAGCGTGAACCAGCAGCAACAGCAGCCGCAGCCACTCTCTGCAGGCGTGGCGAAGCCGAAACAGGCAGCAGCGCCGCAGTGGGGAATGGGGGGAGCGGGCATGCTAGGTACCCCCATGACCATGCCTGTTCCCATGGTGCCTGCATCAGCAGCAGCAGGGGGAGGAGGTGGGATGACCATGGGCATGGGTATGGGTATGGGGATGGGGATGGGCATGGGGATGGGTGCAGCAGGGGGCATGCATCCCATGATGGTCCCCATGCCTATGATGGCTCCTGGGGGAGCCATGATGGCTGGTCATCCTGGTATGATGCCCATGCCCATGGGTATGGGCATGGGTATGGGGGGTATGGGGAGTATGGGGGGTATGGGTATGACCATGGGCATGGGTGTCAACATGGGAATGGGTGGAGGGATGGGGATGGGTATGGGGGGGGTTGGGGGCCCTGGAATGGGTGCTGTGAATGGTGGGAGTATGATGGCGGGAGGAGGGATGGGGGGTGGAGGGAGGGTGGGGGGTAATTTTGATTTCTCAGGTGATCCCATGCTGCGCCCGGTTCCCCCAAGTGCTTCCGGCAAGGAAGACTCGCACGCCTTCGACTTTGTGTCGGTGAGTTGGATTGAGCTTCTATGTGCCTCAGAGTTCCCAGACCATGCTTTGTGACTCTGTTGGCTCCTCACTGCATGCCCCACACGACAACCGTTCATCTGCCACATCTGATGGGTTGTCGTGACCCAACACGACAACCCACAGCACATCTGTCCAGCACTTCTATTGGGCAGCTTTTGAGACGTCACAAAAGTCGACAACACAGCACATCTGTCCAGCACTTCTATCGGGCATCCGTCCATTGTTCATTTGCCACCACGGCGTCTGTCTTTCAATCCCCCCTGCCCTTCACTCCCCACTGTTCCGTTTTTCACCAATACCACCGTTCATCTCCCACAGCCCATCCCCCATCGTCCATCTCCCCCTGTCCATGTCCCGTGCACCTCCATGTATATCCAGGAGCACATAGTGGCAGCCATGGGGACGAAGAAGGGGCCACCAGCGTCAGCCATGCGCTCTTCATGACCAGCTGGCAGCTTCAGCCATGCAGTTGGCACAAGCAGCAGCCATTTTCAGTTGTGTGATTGTCATAAGCGGCAGGCATTGCATGAATGAAATCCACTCCACCCGGAGCAGCACTTGGTCAGGAAAATATTGAAGTCTTGAGGAACCCATGGTCCTTCCTTGGCTTACCAGTTGCTGCTGTTGTTGTAGGCTCATCAGCTGCTGTTGTAGCAGCAGATATTTGTGCGTAACAGCCAGATGACCACTCCACTTGACAATGCTGTTGCCAGGATGATGATCGCAACAATCGTTCCACAACCATGTGGCAACCTCAGCACAAGGATGCTGCAATCATGCTGCATCTGCTGGATGCTGCAATCATGTTGCATCTGCTGGATGCTGCAATCATGTTGCATCTGCTGGATGCTGCAATCATGTTGCATCTGCTGGATGCTGCAATCATGTTGCATCTGCTGGATGCTGCAATCATGTTGCATCTGCTGGATGCTGCATTCATGTTGCATCGGCTGGATGCTGCAATCATGTTGCATCTGCTGGATGCTGCAATCATGTTGCATCTGCTGGATGCTGCAATCATGTTGCATCTGCTGGATGCTGCAATCATGTTGCATCTGCTGGATGCTGCATTCATGTTGCATCGGCTGGATGCTGCAATCATGTTGCATCTGCTGGATGCTGCAATCATGTTGCATCTGCTGGATGCTGCATTCATGTTGCATCTGCTGGATGCTGCAATCATGTTGCATCTGCTGGATGCTGCAATCATGTTGCATCTGCTGGATGCTGCAATCATGTTGCATCTGCTGGATGCTGCAATCATGTTGCATCTGCTGGATGCTTCCCCCTAAGGACTTCGATCGCATGCAGTGTGAACTGCAGGGTGCTTTTCCTGGCACAGACCTGGCATGTCAGCTGAGCATCTGCTTGGTCGTGCTGTGTGGTGGTGGGTCCCCGCTGATGCACTGATGTCTTTGCTTGCATGACCATGCTGCAATCATGCCAGGATTGTATGCTACACACAAGAAGCAATGTTGCATTGCAACCATACCATGATCGAACAGCAACCATTTGCAACCATGCCGCAGCCATGCTTTAGTGGGCCAAAAGCTGTAGCATTGAGCAGCATTCCCTCAGCCGAATAGCAACTGGAAAGCTAGAAACGTCTTACTGTGGTTGGGGTGTTTGGATGATCCCACCTTATTGCAACTGAGGAAGATCCTAGGGCTGGGCACCTGGACAGAGATTTTTGAATGAGTGAATCGTCATGGCTTGCTGCTGGCACCAGTACCGTAACTGAACAAGTTTCGGTAAAGTGTTCCGGAACATTGCTTGTTTTGCGTTTTCTCAAGCTGGAGCATCAACTGTACCATGTGCATGAGACACATGAAACCAAGTTTGCAGGACTCGGATTGGACTGGGTAACAATGCCTTTTTCAGTAAACGTTACAAGCATGCTCATAGCAACAGCGCAGCCTACAAGAAAACGCACTTCCCCTTGCTGCGAGCCACAGCAGCAGCAGCATCTAAAACTGCATGCGGTGGGGCTTGTCTCCCGACGTGAGTGAGAAGCGAGCAGAGAGGTACTCCTTGAGCAGCGGCTCGCTGCCTACGGCCGCCAGGATCTTCTCGTCCACCGCCGCCTGGTCATCCTTCCTCGCCTGCGACACCACTTTCTTCTCCTGCACAGCACACAGATGGATGGTTCAGGGTTGAGGAGGGAGATGGGGCCAGTGGTGAGTCAAAGCGAGCAGCACCCAGTGGCGTATGGTCATCCTTCCTAACTGCAACACCACAATCTTCACCTGTGCGCCCCAATGGTGGTGTTTGGAAGGGCAATGGTTGTGAGGGGGAGGGCGTAAGACCAGGGAGGAGGGGAAAGAGGGAACGGAAAGTGTTGAGTAAGAAGCGTGCAGCACAGAGCACAAACACTTTGCCTGTGCCTGCCAGAGCCTGCTGCTGCATGCGACAAGAGTAGCCGTGTCAGATTGAGAGGTGTTTCGGGTAGGCGTGTGAAGTGTTGAGGGCAGGTGTTATGGTGAGTGCACCATGCAGCAAGGTTCTCCTTGACCAGGGGCTGCTCGGTTGCTCAGGAAAACACGATTGCTCAGGGAGGGAGGGGAGGGGAAGAGGGTGAAGGGAGAGGCGCAACAAGGCACTAGGACTAGAAAAGCTCACCCTCAGCCCTCAACAACTGACCTTCTTCTCGGTCTCGAAGAACTCGCCCTCGCTCTTCTTCTCCTTCTTCTTCTGCTCGCCCGCGAAGTAGCCGTCGTCGAACTTGGCCACGTCAACGCCGCTCACGTCCACCTTGGTCGACGTGGCGATGACGTAGCGCTGGTTGACTCTCCTCAGGGGAATCCTGTTCACCTTGAAGGGACCTGAGGGGACAGATGCCAGAAGAGTGATGGCAGAGAGTGAAGGGGTTAGCCCAAAGGAAGGAGGCGAGAAGAAGGCGGGTGGAGAATGTCAATGGTTCAGGGAGAGGGGCTGTTTAACAAGCAAGAGCAAAATCAGAGGAGAAGGACGCATAACAACTCAGTCAGGCACATCAGAGCATGTGAAAGAGAGTGCAGTGGCCTCATAGATCTTGGTGGTTAGTAAATCGTCATGCGGCCGTGGCCGTCAAGAGTAGCAAATACTGATGAATAATCACCGGCCACATGGTCACCCTTCACCCATGAGCGCAGACGGAAACGGAGACAGAAAGACACGATTACGTCGCTGGAAAAACATGTAAGCCAAGTTCAGCCCGTTTTTCATTTTCAGTGGACAGGCACCAATGAGCGTCAACGGAAACGGAGTCCAGAGGATCCAACAGCCACTGTAAGATGCTGAAACGAGGACTGTACGTGAATTCAGGCGCGACGGATAGTAACACCAGGAATGGCACCGGAATGATGTCTGCTGCTGGAACAAGGCCAGTAACACTACGAGGAATCAGCTTGGCTACTGACTTCCGTTCTGGTCATTATTTTCTAGACAACGAAATAAGGAGTTACCCCGCGACAGGGTCACATGGGTAAGCATCCGTAGCAGAGGCCTCATATCTTGGTGGTAGGATATTCGTCAAATGGACTAAAGCCATCACGAGTAGCAAATTTAGTTTAATCACCGGCCGGCTACGGAGTCAACAAAAACCAGAAGTGTGCGATTTAAACGACGAGAATCGTCAGAAAAGCGGGAACGCAGCTAGAAAGCAGTGGTGGTAGCCTCATAGATCTTGGTGGATAGTAAATCGTCATGTGGCGATGCCATCAAGAGTAGCAAATACATCGTATAATCACCGGCTGCACCACCACCGTCGAACTGGTCGGCCTAAACCCAAATAGCCCTTCATCGTCTGTAATATTCTGACGTCACCGTAGCGCATTTTCTACGGTCTACCCCTTCCAAGCCGACGTTTTGAAATTCGGTCTGAGGTCAGAACTTGAACGCAAACAACGCCCCTCCGCAATCGCGAATCCACGGTAGCAACTACAACCGTCTGCCACCGTTGCCGGGTGCCTAAAAACGTTGGAGGCAGATCACGGAACGCCGTGTATCGAAACGGCACGCTGCTGGGCCGGGCCTGAAACTAACTGATAGTCCTGATGAACAGGATGTGTCGTTTTCTCAAGTGCACTGCCGACCTAAACGAGGCTTCTAGTACTCCCTGGATAACTAACACGACGTGACGGCACTACATCAGCCTGCGCTGGAGCCACCAGAACGATCGCTTCGATTCAAGTATCTACTTTGTGACGACTCCGAGAATAGATAACAGAGCTGAAACACGCTGGTGGGAAGCAGGCGTGGAGGGGTTAAACAGATGAGAGAGGAATAGAAAAGACAAAGACGCCGTTTTGCAATGGCGTGAACTCAATGAAGGTTAACGAAAACCTTACCAGTGACGAGGAGGAGACCGGACTCGAGCTGCTTAAGGAAGACGACGCGCCTGCCCTTGTCGCGGCCAGCGAGGATGATGAGCACTGTGCCTGGGGTGATGCTCGCACTGCGACACAGGAGACGGAGAACAATGCCATTGGCAAAAAAAAAAAGTGATATCAACACGCCAATAGCAGCCAAACTCCCAACCCTAATTCATCAATCGTGCCAGCAGATGCGCGAGCAGTGGAGTGGAGATCGCGGAAGGGCGAAGCGAACCCTAGCGGTGTTTAAAAAGCTAGATGGGTGACTGAGACCCGAGCCAAACCCTAGCCTCGCAAACCACTGACGCAGCGCTTACCAGACCCTTACCGCAGCTTCGAGGGACGATTCACACGCGCCCTCTTCAAGGGCTTCTTGACAGCATCTAGGCTGTATGACTTGGGAGCCGCTGCCTCCGCCATGGCTGAAAGGAACGAGGTGTAGGAAATTCTAGAGGGGCGTGGGAGGGGAGAGGGAAAAGGAAAAGGAGCTGCTCTTGTGGGCGAGGATGCATTTGGGGGAGGATGTGGAGGAGTGGGGAGCTTCTTGCGCAATGGGTGCGGAATACGGGGAAGCTCTTGCGGAAAGCGTAGCAGAGTTGTGGCAGAAGGGGAGCTGCGAGGAGTGGGGAATGGTGGCAGGGGGCAGCAGGAGGGGAACTGGCGTGAAGGGTTGGGTTGGGCTGGGTTGGTTTGGGTTCGGTTGAATGAGGCGCGGGGTGGCTTGGGTTTGGTCTGTTCGCGCTGCTGGAAATTTGGCTTGTCGCGAGAGCACTTCGGGGCATTGTCAAATTGCACCTAACCTACCACGCACAATGGAGGTTCTGGATTTATAAGGAATATATGCAATGTGGTCTATGAAATGTACATTGCAGATCAGCCAATTTGGCGTCACCAGCACGACAAGATCGAGGTGGACCCTGAAGGTGCGCTCACTTCCAACTTTTGAAGTTTTGGAAAATAGAGGAACCTAGGGTCAATGACTAGTATGACCGAAAATACTGGCACGAGTGCTGAAAGCATGCTAGTTAGGCTGTGGTATTCGCAGGTATCATTGCCAGTTATTCTGTTGCCTACCATCACGGTGCTTCCTGCTGGTTGATTTCCGTGAGAACTAGATGTGAGCTCTCAGTTCCGTTTGAATGGAACTGTTTTCTGATTTCGCGGCTGGCTTCGACGAAGAGCTCGATGTTGACGACTCAGACATTTTGTCCGCCCTGGGAAAGGTTCCAGATGCAAGCAAACGACAGTCAGAACAGAACAATATTGAAGGGAGCAAGCTACCAGGAAACAGCGGTGTTCGGCCGGTGAGGACGAGATCAGCTGCAGTCATCGACGGAAGACAGTTTGGTCCAGGCGTTACCCCTGCTCAACAAAGGGGTGATATCCTAGACAGGGATAGCAACGACCGTTTAAGATTCAAAGTCCCACCTGAGCCAAGTTCGAAGGATTTGAACTTCGCACCAGCCAGGAATAACCATGGCGCGGACTGGATGAGGCCTGAGCGCCGATCGCCAGCTGATACTAATGCTGCTAAATACCCCGAAAGCCAACGACTTCGTCAAGGACGGGAACCGACGGTCAGCCAGTCTCAGCAGAATGGCCCTACGGACAACAGCGTTGACGACGGGGTTAGTGGATGGGCGAATTTCAGCCTCGGAGATTTCGACCTGGGCATTGATGGCTTGGGAGGAGACGCGGATCGAATGCGAGGAGAACCAGACGGGGAACCTGTTGAATTTCCACCCTCCCAGCGTGCAAATCAGACGCGCGGATTGAGATCCTCCCAGCATGCGGATCAGGCCCGCGGATTGGGGAATGATAGCGAGTTTGTCAATGAGTTCGAAGGAGGTCATGGAATGAGCTTTGGATTGGACGATGCAGGAGCAGCTAGGGAGAAAAAGAGGAGAAAAAAGGGAGAGAACTTCAAGACTGCTGTGAAAACTGAAGATGTGGAATTGAGCCCTGAAGAGAACGCGTTTCTCAATAATGACTCGCCTCCCTTGGACGGAAAAGCTGGGGGGGAGAGTCTAAGGATTCTTCCGGGCCCTATTGGTATCCTTCAGCGAAGACTAGCAGGTCTACCGTGTGGTCCTGGTCATGATGATGGTGGCAATGGCGGCCCCTTTCTAAATGATGGCTTTTCGCGTGGTCGGCCAGAATTTACAGGAGATGAAGACTTCAGTAAAGGACCGTGGCTCTCATGCCTCGACGTCCTAGACATACATCCTTCTGCCTTTGGTACGGTCCGGAAATGTTTGTTCCAATTTCCATCTTGTGGTCCTGTGGGTGTGGGTGTGTGTGTAATCATTGTACTCACCGCTGCTATTTTTTCCTAGTTCAGGGAAACCAGGCACTGGGTGTGAAACAGTAAGGAGCATTCGGCAAGCAGGCATTTCGATGGTGGTGATGCAGGTGAGGTGACTGCTAATTCTGGATTTTTATAATCTCTGTTAATGGTAGAGGCTGGTTGTAAACATGCTGTGCTGTCATTGAGTATGTTAACACCTTTTGCTTGTCTGTCATGGTAGATGATTGTCATTTTTTGCTTGTTTGTTGAAACCTTCTCCTGTCCCACACCCACTAGCTCGCAGCTGTGGTGGAGCGCCTTCAACTGCAACCACGGGGTGATGCGAACATCGAAATCAAGGTATCTCAGATGTTCGCTGTGCACCTGGTTTATAGCTGTAGACTGGAGCAACGCATGCGTTTTCCTCATGCAAGTACTAGGCTGTGCTTGCACAACAAGTGAAAGTTGGGCGATGGTGTGTGCATGGAAAGTATGACATGATCAAAGGACATTTCGCCATCCACTTTCTGTTCTGCTGGCGTGGCCATCTAAACCAGGACCCCACTGGTCGTCTGGAGGGCTCACTGCACTGGAAGGTCATGGCTGACGCCGACAACAAGTCGCGGCTTAAGCGAGGATCTGCCCTTCTACTCCGAAAGGTTCACAACCCATCCGTTTTGGGTCTGCATCTACTTTAGATGATCTCATGGTGCATTCAGAAGGAAGAATGTGCATTAATTTGGAGTTGTTGATGTGGACATGTGTGGTTGTCAGGTGGTGGTATTCAGCCCTCGCAAGGGACTGCAATATATCAACATCACTCTTGCCAACGTTGTTCAGGTGAGTGTAGGCGCGTACCACCAATCGTTCCAGTACAATTGTCACTCTCGTCCCTTCACTATTTCATTGTGCAACTTTCTGCTTTCCCATCCCGTCCCATTCCAGGTGTTTCCTCCAGACACACCGATTCCTCCTGTTTCTGCATTTCGCCCATCATCATCGGATCTACCAGGTGCGTGCATGGTTTTTCCGAAGAGGCTTCTCTGCCTGTTTTACCATTTTCGATGTTCATTTTGCTGTCCCAGGCGACTGCCTGAGTGTCTAATTATTGTCTTCCTTCTCCACACTGCAGGCCCACGCGTTGACTCTACCCGCTCTCCTCCATTCAGCTCAACAGCTTCCCCGCCTGTACACACACTCCAATCTCCAATGGCGAACCAACAACCTCCCTTCGCAATGCCATGTCACAGACTCGCTGAAGACTCACCCTTTTCATCAAAGAATCCCCACCTGCACACTCAGAAGCCACAGTCGCCAAGCTCTCTTGGAACCAACCGAGTGCCAGCATCGCCTCAACCTGTGACACAGATCCCATCTTCAGCTCCTCCACCTCGCCCTGCTACTGGTACTTCAGTCCAGATAAATTCGGCCGCTGCCGCTGGTGGAACGGTGGGTTATCCCGCACCATTCACTTCTTATGTGCCAAACCCCCGCTCCAATACTGAGATGATGCCGAAAACTACCCCAGCCAGTCGAGTTCCAGCAGCCACGATTGAACGGAGGGAGAAGGCGTGGGATTTCACGTCGATTGACGCTGAGGATGCTGACATCTGCCTCACGCCCATGGTGCCTGATGCGGCCTTGGAGAGCCACCGGGGAGGGTCTGGCACTCATGTTTCTGCCATGCAGGATGAAGGTGAGGAGAGAATTCAGCCAGGTGATGCAAGATCTCGTCTGCCTCCAACCACAGAATTCCAGCAAGGTATCTCAGCTGGCGTAAATGTTGGCGTCCATGGACCCTCAGCTTCTGTGAGGGGATGCGAAGCTGGTTTTCAAGGCGAAAGTGCTAGAGAAGTGGGGATGCGAGGTACGGAAGAGAATGGCGAGGGTGGGGATTGCTTGAAAAGGAATGGCCACGAAGAGAGGGGTTCCGAAGAGGCTATTGATGTTTTGAAGAAACTGGGGTGGGATGCTGATGGTTTTGGAGCATTTTTCGAGGATGATGTGGATGGTTTGTTTGCACCTTTGACTGGAAAGTGAGCATTTAAAGCTGCGGTCTACATACTAAAAGGGGGTTTTGGGGGGTAATCTAGGTGCACACCCTTTGGTGCGCGATGACTTGAGAGCGAAGTGTGGTTTTCCCCCAAACACCTGTGCGATGAGTTCGCACAAAGTTGGCGATGTGAAACAATTTCGCGATTGGGTTTTCTTGGGGGAACAAATCCGCGGAAAGGCGGAAATTTCAGCGCCAAACACAAACAACCAAGCGGAGAGTTTTGCGCCCACCCCGCTCCCTCCTTCCGCCTCGATCGTTCGTTTCTTCTGGAGAGTCTGCTACCCTGTTTTCAAGTGATAAACCAGGGCCTGTCCCTCGAGGTATGTAGACCGTAGCTTTAAGCACCATTTTGTCATCTACTTCTGAAACAAGCAATAACTTCCGGCCAGCGGCCGTCCCTGCCGCGCTGTTCAAGAACCACTCCTCCTTGGGTTCCTGACTGAACCCAACGGCAAGTGCCAACGGACCAGTTCAACTCAAGACGATCAGCCTGACGAAAGCCAGCTGTCGGTCTGACCAAGTCGTCTCTCGTCACCTTGGCTCAACTGAACAACAGCTCCCTTAGCTGGAATCGCCACCGTTCATTCAAGGTAACAATCAAACAGATCTGCTGAGGGTTCGACCTGGTCAGGCGCGGGTCAGTTCAACGGCCAATTAGCATGAAGCATTACTGATGTGTCGGGTCACCATACCTCGCCGTGCTTCAACCCACGCAAACCCACTCCACTCCGCTCTTGCAAGCGCGGACCGCAACGCCAACTTCTGTATCGGGCGTCTCGTCTCCTCCCCCGCCAACCCCATCTTCGCTTGCAGCATTTCTTCCGATTTCATCCCATCCCATCCCATCCAATCCCATCCAATCCCATCCCATCCCATTCCACCCCAACTCAACCCCCCGCAGCAATTCCTTGTCTCCACTTACAAATTGTCCTCGCACTCGTGTGACTGGGCAAACTCCTCTTTTTCAACTCCCTCTTTCATTTTTTTGATCGCATCCGTCATTATCCATGCGCACCTGTTTCTTTTGTTGAGGCTGCACATTAATATACGAGTCATTGCTCAGAAGTACAGAAGCCT